CAGTTGTTTGGTTCTTACTGTGTGGTTGCTGAGCTGTTGGGTTGGTGCGTTGGTCGGTTGGTTGGCTGGTTGATGTTTCAATCAATTGACAGTCAACAGTGCTAACAGTGTAGCAGTGTAACAATGTAATTGTGACTATAACTTATAACAGTATCAGTATACCGGATAGTATACCGGGTATACCGTATAATTTTATAACGTATAATATAACTAACTGTATTAACTGTATCTGTATAATTGTTAAACTAAAACAATAGACTATGACTATGACTATAACTTATAACTATAACTTATAGGTTGATTTTGAACTTGAACTGACATAGGTAAACGGTGGTGCCCTAGACAAGGTTGTTTTAGTCTTGAGCTTTGAATCTTGAGTCTTGTTACTTGTTATTGGTTGCTTGGAAGGAAACATGCTGAACATGAACCGGACTGATGTATGTCGTATGATTTTCCTATCCCGGCCACTGCCAGTTTACCCATCACCACTAATCAGCCATCCTGTTCAGGAGGCCCACGGCTTTAAAGGCAGAATTGATGGTCAACATCTCTTCATCTTCGCTATCGGATGCATAGCGCACCGATCCAAGCACCGCCAAAATTGCTGCAGAAATACACGGGGCACTAAAAGCGTTCCCTGCCAAATCGGATAGAAGGCTCTCAGATTCCTCCACGGCCGTGTCAAACTCCTCCACGTGGAGGCCCTGAAATCGCAGCATCTCTGAACCTGACCAGCCAGACTTGCGCTCACATCAAATAAACTGCAGCAGGTACAGTTTGTGAAGAAGAAACCCAAAACATCTTTCACGCTGGCAGCTCTTTATTTAGCATGTTTCCAGGCGCTGACTCGCACAAAACAGCTGACTCAACATGGCCAATCTATAGCTTGGTAGCCCAAGACCCAGCGGTGCTGTGACATGCACCACAGCTTCGCTGAAGGCAACACCGTTGGAATGACCTCCCGAAGCTGTCGGGTTCACATTCGGAAGGCAACATCAAAAAGCCAATGGCAAGCAATTTTCCCCATGCCCGCTTTGTTGGAAACATGTTTTTCAAATGTCCTGACTGGTAAAGAAGGACCCAATTTGGTAATTGATCATTTGTCATTGTGGACACCACGACCCAGCGCACCTTGGAATCCCGTGTGCTGTGCGCCATCCTCGTCACTGTTTGCGATATATCAACAAATTCGATCAATTGCTCGTCCGGGCGATCCTTGTTGAACGCCTCCGCAAAGCAAATCGCCTGACCAAACAAGTGACATTCAAACCGGAAGCAAACAAAGCATGCTCTGAGAACAAGCTATGCGCATTGCATGTTGCTCATAGTCCAATTAATTAGAGTTCAGTGCGACCCCCAACCCCCAAATGCTAGACTAGACTAGACTCTGACTCTAACAGCAAGGACCATACAGTAATGACACGCTTCCCGCTTCGAAAACTTCTTCCTCTGAACCTGCCTCCTTCTCCCTCTGCTGCAGCAGCTGAAACCAGGGTGAGTCGTTCAAAAAGCCCGGAACATCCATCGGATAAGCAATGTTGCCTTGGCCACCACGTCAAAACCACATGGTGTTGTTTTTCCCCGGAAAGATTGGGTAGGATGTCCGAGAGGATAGGGAAGAAGGGGAAAGGATAGGATAGGGACGGATAGGATCAGAAAGGAACCGGAAAACCATAATCAAACAAATGAGTCAAATGAGTATAGTATATACATAAATTACATAAATAATTTAGTAAATAATACATATCTCTAAGATTCTCTAAGTTGTTTAAGTAATTTAAAAATGACCATGAAAATAGTGAAAAGTGAAAAGCTAAGAGCAGAAACAACAGATTTTGATTTAATTATTCATAGATAATACTCGATAAATAAAATAAAATAATAAAAACCTCTAGGCTCTAAGCATTAAAAATAAAAACATCAATTAATTAATAATTAACAATTTAAAATAAATACGTCTTAATCATTAATAACTAATTTAGAAACAAATTTAATAATTTATTAAATGAAAAAAAAATCTAAAATTAGATAATGATGATTTCGATTTGGATCAGCAATAAATATATACGGTAATAGTGAACATCAGTAATGGCATAAGTATTTTAGACGCTTAAAGCCACCAAAAAAAGTGAAATCATTTTAGCCAATCAATAATAATTAAATACAGTTTTTGAGATTATTAAGTAATACTTACTTACTTACATAGTATAAATTTAAAATGTTAATTTTATGCAATACCCAATGCTTATTAATTTACTAGAAACTAAAGATACTTGAAATAATTAACTTAGAAAGTTAAAAAAACTATACTAAAAGTACCCGGTACAGTAGGTATATGGTATACCGGAGTATACCGGGTAACTAAGAACGTTAACGGAAGTATAGAAATATCAGTGATCTATTTATAATATTTGTATATATTTTTTTATTTATAATACATATATTTATATTTTATAACGTTACATATATATATATGCTTCTATATATATATGATATTATATCAGTATAAGTAAAGGACAAATTGACAAGCTTATAAAACTTAGAACTAATCGTAACTAACTAATAGTAATAAAGAAAAAATAAAACATAAATCATAAAAATAATCCCAAAATAAAAATACAGATAAAATTTTATTAATACAATAATACAATAATACATAATTAAAAATATATGTACTTAGATTTCGACTGTCACTAAAATAATAATTGTTCATTTTGTTAGAATAATTATTTAATAAATAGAAAAAATAGGTTACCTTAACTTACCTAGTATTTTTTATTTTACAGTAAAATATAGTATGAGTAATAATTGATTGATATTGATTAGAAATCTTGAATTGAAATTAAAAACTAGTAAATCAGTAAATAGTACTAGTTACTGTTACTAGTACATGGAAGATTAACATAGCATAACTGACTCACAACTGAAACAAAAATAGCGTCAAGTCAAGTCAAGCACGAAAGTTTCAATCAAGTTCTGTGAAGTAAAGAATCAAGAGTCAAGAGAGAGTCAAAAGGTCTAGGGTCTCTAGGGTCTAGTCTACTAGAGTCTAGTCAGAGTCGTAGAGTCTAGAGTCGTAGAGTCTAGAGTCTAAGTCTAGAGTCTAGAGTCTAGAGTCGGAGTCTAGAGTCTAGAGTCTAGAGTAGTCTGGAATCTTTTCAATACTGACCAGTCCCATAAATTTATGTGTGACACTGTCGGAAATAGACCTAGAATACAAACCACTGACATCGACATCGACCTCCCCGAGAATGTAGCTAAGAAGCTGGTGGCAGCCAGTTGCTTGTGTGTCTCCATCCATCGCGGCGGAGGCCCCTCCTTCGGCTTGGGTGGCTTCTTTTTTTCCGTAAGCCGCGTCAACTCACGAACTAACCGGGGATGGCCAGAAGGATACAGCAAAGCGTCCTTGCACACGGTGTGCGCTGAAAGAGAAGTACATGTCTCATCGTCTCATCATTCGTCCATAGCCTTAACTTTTAATTACCTTGCCTTAGCCTTACTTCGAACGATCCCCTTGACACAGTATTCAGACATAGTTTTTAGCAGTTCTGTTTTAGCTTAGCTGGAAGTTATATGCTGCAGCGCTGTCTGGCGTATATATTCTTCTGACATTCTGTCTGGTACTCTTTCTGGCATATACTCTGGCTATTCTATCTGACATTCTTTCTGGCATTCTCTCTGGCATCTATTCTGACATTCTATATTCGGGTCCAGGCATGGCCCACTATGGCTCGGATCCGTTGATGCCTGATGATGCCCATATTCGAGATAAGCTGGCACATGATAAAACGAAGAGGAGAGGAAGGAGAAGGAGGAGGATCAGGAGGAGGAGGAGGAGTTGCACCTTTGTTAAAAATCGAGAGACCCATAAGAAGAAAATAAATTTTATTTTATTTTTTTATCAACAACTAATGATGACTAATAACCATTTATAAATGAAAAATATAATTACAGACTTTACAGATTACATCATCAATTTACATCAGTGTCAGTGACATATACAGTATTCATATATTACATATGTCAGTTAAGTTCAGGTTACTTACCAACCTGCACTGGGGCGATGGAATTCTGACAACGGCAGAAAAAGCAAAACAATTGTCACCCACAAACCCTGCAAATTTTGTAACTCATCTCCCATGAATCCCGCTGTCTCCAAAGCAAGCAAGTGACAGGGGCGATTTTCAGAGTGCACTGAAGGCAGTGGAGCACATGTTGGATGCTCTTCAAAATGTCACCACACAGGGCCATGCGTTCTACTTGTCTGACACCAAAAAAGTAAAGCCGACACCTACGCTGTGGGAGCCCGTAGTTGTCTGAACGAAGCCTCACTGCCTCCACTTTGTAGCCGATGTTGCGAAGTTTCTGCAAAACCAAATCATAATTGGACCTGGCGCCAGCGAGACAGCGCACATTGGGCTCAATGGGGCAGCTCACACCAATTGATTCAAAAGACTTATCATAAGACTAGACTGACATAAGTACCGACCAAAAGTGACCATAAATGTAGCTATTGTGATTATCAATGTCAATGTATCATGTCATTGATTCGACCAATTTCATACATCCATAATGTCATCCACAATTGGGCCATAACACTAATCAAGCCGGTCGGCGGAAGTTCGTCGCCATTCTCATTTTTTTTCGGCTTGGTATCCATGGAATCAACATTCTCTAAGATGAATGCTGCCGGTCGCTGCTTGGTGATCACATCGCACACCCCATCAAATGTGTTCACCGAAGAGCAATCCTCATGAATCATGTCAGGGCCGGGCAGTTTCGAGAAAATTGAAGTGTTCAGAGTTCAGTGTTCAGATTGAAAGTTCAAGTCAACTCTCAATTTTCAACCACAGTAAATGTTCGGTCCCTGCCTGACCCTCTGCCATTGCTGATCGATGCTTGGAAAAATTGCTGTTCATGGCAGAGAACGACCTCCGGCCAAAAAGAACAAATTTGTTGCATGCCATCACACATGGGCTGGATTGATTCCCTAAACTTAAATTGATTAATTAGATCAAAAGTTCCTATCTTGTTGAGGCTGTGGCTTACAGGAAAAGCCCGCGCAAAACAGCGAGAGCGTGTAGGCGATGTCATCATCAGGGCCACAACGGGGGAGAGCCTCACAAAAAATGCCACGCAAGGACAAAGGAGGCACAGGATAAGAGTCAATCATGCGAGTGTAGTGAGAGACATGTGAGAGACGGTGAAAAGTGAAAGTGAACAGTGAAAAAAGTGAAAAGTCAGTGCAACAACATACCGCAAAGGCGGGCTGAGTCAGAATCTGAACCATTGTCAAACCAAGCCGCACATGACTTCTCATGAATAAGGCAAACCCGTTCTTTGTCATTCTTAAGTTTCGTGATGTCAACGAAGAGGCAGGCCTGCCAAAAAAACATAGCAGTTTCAAACATAGCAATTTCAGTTGCAATTTTTTATGTTTTCCATGTCCGCGTTTCCACTGTTCCGCGATGCAGGATATGTATCCCATCCCATTCATGCACCTGGTGCAAACCTACAATCGCCAAAAAAAAATGCGCTCTCTATCTATCTGGCTTTCAGGGATATCACCTAACTGTGAATCTGAATCTAACTGCTAGAAAATCACGGAGTTCCCGCTTCGCCGGACCTGTTTGGCTTCGCCGGGCTGCTGCTGCAGCACGTGTGACTTCAAAAAGTTCTGCTTTGCTGGAACATTCTCGCAAGCAAATAATGTTGATACCTGTGCTGATTTTGGCGGCCAGACTGTTCAACAAGATTGAGTCAATGCTATCTGCAGCAAAGCCGACAAAGGAAGGCTCAGGAAGTGCTAAAATGGCAAGGTATCAACGTGTGAAAATCTTTGAATACAAAGAATACAACTAACTCAACTAACTCACAACCATTCCAACATCTCAGCAAGCCTGAATCCGCTCATCACCATCACACATGTGCTCATTGATCTTCTTTACCACGGCACGAATGCAAAGCTCAAACAAACCAGTGCCGGAACAAGCCGACATGAGTTGGAGTCGCTTTGGCAAGCCCCTCCACCATCGTTGCACCTCTTCTTCCCCAAAGGTCGATATCAAGGAAGATATCTGCTCCTGGCGCAAGTGGTTTAAGTTTACGCAATGCTCATCGCAATCAAGTCGCTGCAATATCTGAGTTCTACAGCGGTCTTCCTCTGAGCTAAGCTACTGTGTCACTGTGCAACTGTGTAACATTGAATTGAATTGTAACAAAGCAACACATCATCTGCTAACCCTAAGCCACAAACCCAGAACACAAGACATTTTGTGGGTCGCAATCGACGAAAAAGAATCAATAAATAATAATAATAATCAAAAATAGAATTAACTCAAATTGACTCAAGTGTCAATAAGTCAATCGACAGAAACATTCCAGAAATGAAAGTTTGGCATTGACAAAATTGGCCCGGCTAATGTGACGCGAGTCAAGTCACAAGAAAGAATCCCGAACGACTAGATGCGCCAAAAAGTGGTCGCAGTTTGGTTGGAAATTGGCTCTCGACTCTAAGAGCGAAAGATTCGAAAACTGAGAAGGATGGCTGAAATGGGGTTTGGCAGCTTAACCCTGGTATAAGCATACCGAATCTGAAACATACATTGCATGTCATCACAAGAGCTCTCACAGTATGCAGTATGTCACAGTCACGAATCCGGAAACCGACATCTTTCTTTATTTGTACTTGTATTGATGGAAAAGGAATCCCAGACTGGGGGCTGCAGGAGATAAATCGGTGAACTGCCAGGTCGTCCCTTCGCAATCCCACCTGTGCTATCTTCTCCAAGTTTGACCATGAGTCAACTTTAGTTTCACCACCTGGCTTGCTTATGCATGACAGGATTGTTGAATATATCCGGTCCAAACATGCGGACAGCCCCAACCAAATCAAACCATAGGACACTAATGTCACATGAGTCACATGTGAAGTGCCAAAACATCAACACCGCACGGTTCACAATTCTCACAAGTGCAAAATCAGCCTGCACTACTGAAATACAAAAAACGTGAAACAAAAACAAACCAGCACTGCTGTCATTGTCACTTTTACCGTTTACTGTTACTGATACACAGCTACACATGTTTAAACTTAAGTCCAAGTTTGAAGTTTAAGGAATTCCGAGTTAAGAGTTTAGTCTGGAGTCTAGGGTCTAGGGTCTAGAGTCTAGAGTCTAGAGCTTCGTAGAGCCTGGAGTTTACAGTCTAAGTTTAGAGGGTCTTAGAGTGTCTAGGGCCAGAGTCTAGAATTTAATCTAGCCTTTTTATACATTATCATTATTTATTTATTAGATAAAATTACAGTAATATCATAGAATATGACATATGGCTATGGCATGTAGTATTTTATTAGTAGCAAATAGCGAGTGTACATGATATTACTGTACACGGTATACAATATAATATATATATAATATATATATATATAATTATATATATATAAATTATATATATATAATTATAATTATATATATATATATCATATATATGTATATATTATATATAATACAAATATATATATATGTACATTTATATAAATATATAAAATATAAAATTGATAAAAAAAAGTTCTAAGCTATAAGCTATAGTCATATAATAGTACTTAGTAATAATTTGTAATAATTATAAAATATTGATTAAAAATAATTATAATTGTAGTTAGTATATAGTACATACAGTACATAGTGGAGTATTATAAAGTAAGCAGAAAATAAGAATAACTGCTGAACATAAAAAAGCGAAATTTAAGTATGTCTAAGATTCACCGGTTAGTTAACTCTTGAAAGTTTTAGATATTGTGAAGTGTAAAGTTTAAGTTTACCTCCTGTTTGCAATTGCAGTGTGCAAAGTGTAGTGTAAAGATTAAAATTAAAGTAAATTTTAAAAGTTTAAAGTTTAAAGTTTAAACAAGTTTAAAGTTTAAATAATTTTAAAGTTTAAAGTTTGAAGTCTAAAAATTTAAAAGAAAATTAAAGTGTAGTGTATAGTGTACAGTGTGAGTTGATAATGTAAGGCATTTATCATAATGATGTTATATTATTATTATTTGAATCTAAACTTATATAATAATATATTTATATTTATGACTAAATTAAATTTATATATTATAAATTATAAATTATATTATATTGTACATTATAAATAATAAATATATATATATATATTATATATATGAATATATATTATATTATATATAAATAATTTAATAAAATATAATAATTAATAATAATATATAATAAAAAATAAAAAATATAGTTCTATTCAATTAGCCGCTGAAGTTCATTGATTACAAACACAACATGAGTCCGCAAAACAAAAGAGTCAAACGAGTCAAAAACGGATACCGCCAGCCTTCATCAGGGGGGTCTGACTCTTGACTCTTCTCATCCTCCTTCTCCATCTGCCTCTCGACCAGTTCTGTCAACGAAACAGAGCTCACCTCGCCTGAGCACGAATCATCTTCATCTTGCTCTTTTGCCCACAGCCACGCCATAAAGTCACTCAACGGGCCGCAAGCATCTACAGCCTCTTGACCTCTGTGACACTCGTGCCCAAACCAAAACTGAGGAAGAGATCGTGCCTTCAACTCGTCATTGAACTCTGCAAGATAAGGGTGCATCTCTGCCCACTGAAGCTTGGAAACTCTTTGAGGCTCGTTCATTTCCAGAAGTTGCTGCAAACAGCATTCTTTCTGCATCTGCAACGGCGATCCTCCATCATTGTCCTCCAAACCCGCATCTGCAAGAGAAAGACCTGGTTCAGTCCCGAAAAGACCGGTGGTGTCTGCAACTGCTGCACCACCAATGGCGGGTTCCTGTGGGCCCTCCATGGAAATACCCTGCTCGCCATCCGACTTGGTTGGGCAAACATCAGGATCAGCTGCTGCTTGCACTGCTTCAGCTGTAGGTGAAGGAACCTCGGCATCTCTGGCCGCCTCCGCTGCACTCTCCTCAACTGTCTTGGCAATTTGACCCTTGGCTTCTGAAAAGTCAGCACCTGCGTTGCGGCCTGGATCTCCTTCAGGCAAACTTGAAGCTTCTGTGGCAGAAGCATTGCTATCAGCTGCGGCTGACCCAGATGCACCTGAAGCGATGGTCTGCTCAGGCTGCTCAGGCTGTGTCTCTTGCAAGGGCACCACATCGTTGTGAAAGTGTTGGCTCTTCTCCAAGGAGGACTGAAGCACATCTTCAGCAACTCTAGCGTCTGTCTCCAGCTGCTGGACAGCCGGTTTCAAACAAGCCCGCTTTGCATCGTTTGATGCAGATTCAAAGCACTCCGTGGATGCATCTGCGGGCTCTGCGGGATCTTCAGCCTCTTTTCGCTTTGCGGGGGTGAGGGGTTGACAAACATCAGGATCAGCTGCTGCTTGCACTGCTTCAGCTGTGGGTGAAGGAACCTCGGCATCTCTGGCCGCCTCCGCTGCACTCTCCTCAACTGTCTTGGCAATTTGACCCTTGGCTTCTGAAAAGTCAGCACCTGCGTTGCGGCCTGGATCTCCTTCAGGCAAACTTGAAGCTTCTGTGGCAGAAGCATTGCTATCAGCTGCGGCTGACCCAGATGCACCTGAAGCGATGGTCTGCTCAGGCTGCTCAGGCTGTGTCTCTTGCAAGGGCACCACATCGTTGTGCTGGCTCTTCTCCAAAGAGGACTGAAGAACATCTTCAGCAACTCTAGCCTCTGACTGCTGGACCTCCAATTCCAAACCAGCCCTCTCTGCGTCGCCTGATGCAGATTCAAAGCACTGTTTGGATGCCTCTCCATATTCTTTTCGCTTGGCAGGAGTGAGAGCTTTGTAGTCCTTGCTCTCGGCCTTCAACTCTTCGGTGGTCACTTTCATAAGGCATGCCTTCGGTCCTGGTTTGGCCTTTGGCACTGATTTGGCCTTAGCCTTAGACTCTGATTTGGGCTTTCCTTTTGCCTTCGGTGCGGCTGCAGCAAAAGCAGCAGCGATCGGTACAACCCCAGTAGCCTTGGGAGCAGCAGCCTTGGGCCTTCTTCCCATTGCCAGAAGAATCCAAGAAAAATGATTATAAGTCCACTTAAGTCACGAATAACAGCTACATCCAGCTACATTGCAGTCCACCACTGAAAGTTTCAAAAACTTGATGCTTGATACTTGATGTGTTACTTTACTAACTTGATACATGTCAAGTTCAAGTTTCAAGTCAGTATGTACATGTTATGTCAATTGTTTTGACTTGTTTCTTGGGCAGTGGGCAACATGTAACCACCAAACATCGCCGAACTGAAATCCTGCGCTTGCGGCAAGTCTTGAGTCCTGAGTGTCTTGAATCTTGACAGCACGGAAATTTGAACCTTTTGTAGGGCCACATGACCTGCATAGACCCAAAGTGGCAAACACAATTTCAAACCAGGCGCGCTTGCTCGGGCTCCCCCAGCTTGCCCGTTGTTCTCAATGTGAGTTGAAGAAACTATATTAACAGGCACTGCGCGCTTGCAACGCATAAACAGAATTAGAAAAAATATGAAAAAATAACGCTACAAAACATGTCAGTGGCCAGTGGCCCACCTCTTCAGTTGGAATATTCTGAAGTAGCAGAACTGCTATATCACTGCTAGTGCTCGTGCGCGCTGCGTGCCTGTGCAGCTGCACCGCCCAAGATTCACGGGCCGTGATGTACTCAGCATTGAGCGCTGAGCTTTTGTTACTTTAATAATGCTACACTTTCATCGGCACATGACATGCCTATAGCATATACCCCGCCCCTACACTGATGTCACTGATGTCCGACTGCTGTAGCCTGATGACATCGGCAGCACATGAGGATAACTAAACCATTCATGCCATGACATTCATCAAAAATTGATGTTGGTATTTGGACATAGTATTGCCATCTCAGAATCAATGTCAATGTGTCAGAGTTTCCAAAATTCAAAAGTTTTGAAACTTAGGCTGCCTTGGCGTAGGATCGGACAAAACATGTCTGAGATTCCGATTCTGGCCTCCCAAACAAATATTGATCGGCATTGGAAAAAAGTTCCGCCAATACCCTCATGCCAAGCTCACACACCGGTCACTCGACAACCAGTCATGCCTCTCAAGCACTCACCGACCAGTGTTTCCCCACATTGGCGATAGGCGGCATGAACTAGTAGTCAAGGCAACGCAAAGCGGGTCAGCGTGTGAACTGCGTTGCCAGAGCTTGAACACCGGCCGGCAATTCGACTCCGTTGTCCTTCGCTGCGGTCAAAGCTTCTTTCAAGCTCGATATAGTCGCTGTTGGCGGCTGTTGTCCACGCTCTATGGAACGCCGCAGGGTTCTGCTTGCGAGACAGTGCAAGAGGTTCCCAAGGCACCTGAGAGGTGTGAGGAAATAGAAAACATGTAGGGCTGTCTAAAAACCCCGATATCAATCAAATGGTGTTTCCACGCGTTATCGTTTTTTTTTTCCTCTTATCGTTTTTCCAAGTGCTGGCTTCACACCCTCATGAAACAATTCATATTGTGTTTTCTTTGTGGGATATCACCTTACAACCACCAGCTTCACATCTGTTTTTCGGGGAAAAGCTTGCATCTGCAAAGCTTGCTGCTTCGAACATGTCCCATAAACTATAATATAATAATATAATATAATATAATATAATGTATATGTATGAGTCTGTATGAGCATCGTTATCGTTTTTTCCCTCTTATCGTTTTCTCGAATGAGAACTACATATAGCTATAATGGGGGATCATGGCATACTAAATGAATAGGTGCCGGGTTATTATACTCTCCCAATGTGTTGCCGATTAGTTTAGATATTTTTGCCGGCCTACCTGCCTATCTCATAACTGGTATAGGCCATAATACAATTGAATTCTACAAATTCAAAAATACTGCTACTATTATCGCTATGTTATTATAATATATCATTTTAAATTTTAAATTAATCATTCATTAATTAATAGTTGTTAATTTATTATTATTGTGATGTTCGATGAGTGATTTTAGACTTTCGGACTTTGGACTTGGATAGAACTTGAGAATCCTTCGTTTTTTCGACTGTGAAGGTGATGCCAGTGAGAAGCATTATGACACCAATCACATCAGACACATCACATCGGTATCATAACGTACGTCAATGTGAAAGTACTCCATTGCCCAGTCGCAAGAAAGTGAGTCCATCTCGGTTGTTGATCTCGTACTTGTGTACGTCAAGAAAGTCGCTCACCTTGACGGCCATAAAGCTGCAAGCCTGCTTCAGATCCCGGAGCAATGTGCTCATTGCAATTACCTTGTCAGAGGTAGCCGTGGACTTTTCAATGCCGAAGCGGTTCTGGAGCAGGTCCGCATTGATTGCGTCCATCGTGGATATTGAATCCACCTCAGACGGGAGGGCGACGCCTTCCACCATAGCTGCCTCAAGCTTCTCCCGGAAGGTAGATTGGAATTGCGCAAACAGCTCGAAGCTGTGCTCAACCAACTCGCCATGCATAAGAGGAATCTCACCCATCAGCTCATTGCTGATCTCCAACTTGGCAATCTGAACCAATTGCTGCAGTGCTTCGGTGACCTCGTCCTTCGTTCGTCCTTTGCAACCATTGGCCGCTTTGATGAGGGCATACTTGCTCTCCACCATATCCCGATCCGGTCCGGATCGATGAAATGCCATCCTGACAATCTCAGCGACGATCTCCATGCAGTCCCGGAACTTGTCGCCTTCCGGCATTGCAGTTGCAATGAGAAGACCCTCCTCCATGGACTTCTTGAAACTCTTCATACCTTCCCTTGTCAAGCCGTCAGGCTTTGCATGAATTTCAAGGAGAAGCTGCAAGCATGGCTTGGAACTTTCAATGGCTTTCGTGACCAAATGGCTCCCAAAGATCTCCATCACACAAGTGTCCACATTGTCCACCGCGCCTTTCCTGAATCAGCGCAGAAATACAAAACCCGTCGACGAAAATCGCTGACGGCGATGACAAATAGAAAAACACCATTCATGAAATCAAAACCGCCCGACGCCTCTCAAACAAAACAAATCCAGTTTGGGTCATAGTCATAACTTACAGTCAGCTTAAAGTTAAAGCCCAGTTATGTAATATTAAAATTACATTTTTACGAAAGAAATTGCAATATTACATTTCCTCTGTAACCTAGAAAATGTAACATTACATTTTTAGGTGCTGTTAGTGTTACGAAAGAAATTGTGATATTACATTTCCTATGTAACCTAGAAAATGTAACATTACATTTTGTAGGTGCTCGATTGTGTTTGGAATCATTTAGATATATTTAAATTTAAATTTAAATAAATATATTGCGAATTATTTCGGTATAGTTCCTATCATATCCTATTATTTCGTCAGCGTGAATGTTCCCGGATCGGCCATTATGTTTGATCGATTTGCCCGTCGTCCAATATCGTCCCGAAACCAAGTATTTTTGATACCTTAAGGCCTTAAGGCCTTGGGCTTAGGGCCTTGGGCCTATAAGGGGTTGTAAGTTACATTTTCTGCGCCCCCCCCCACCCACCCCAGAAAATGTAAGTTAAATATAGGGGTCCCCCTCCCCGCAAAACCATAAGAGGGTGGGCATAGTTAGTTAGTTCGAGTTATTAAGTTTTATATATAATCAATTTATTAAATTTATTTTTATGTACCGTAACAAAAAATAATTCACATGAGTCACATGAATCATGAGCCATGTTAGAGCTGGAACCGTTGGGCCTAGCTTCGTTGTGGCGCTAAGCACGGTGTCTGGCTCAGCACTCCCATCAGGAGTCTGCTCAAAGGCCTGGATCGCCTTGATAAGCGATGTCGACTGGCCCTGCCATTTTTTTATCCACAATTGGGCCTTGGCCGCGTCAATGCCACCAGACTCAGAGGAAAAAAGCCCGTCAGCGGTGATTGACAATTCCTTCATGAATGTGCTGAACTCCTTGAAGATCTCCATGATATTGGTGCGGCCGCTGCCCAACACGCCTCCCTGCAGCTGGCACATACAGGAGGTCTCACACAGGACCGGCTCCACAATGGCTTTCTTCTCAGTGAAGGATGCCGCGAGTTGCCCCAAATATGGGATGAGGTCAATGTGGATGAACGCACTGACAATCACTTGCCCTGCGTTTTTGACTGTTCCCTGAAGCTTGTTGAGGTTTTCACGGTCTGGGCCTTTGAGAGCCTTGAAAGTGCCAGTGGACAAGAAGACGTACTGATCATTCACAAGCTGCCCATGTTGTTCCGTGAACTTTTCCTTGTGAGCATCCAAGTCAATCGCATGGCTGCAAAGGCCGGTTTTTTCCAGCCTGGGATGTGCAAAAAAAATATAGATCTGGGAGCGGCCATCACCCATCGCTGGTAAAGCTCAAATCAAAGTTTAAAGTTTTAAAGTTTAAAATTTAAGTTTAAAGTTTAAAGTTTAAAATTTAAAAGCAAATTGAACTAAACTCAGCAAAAACACATATCATCATATAATCATATATGAATCAAAAGACATAAGTTGTGACTGCCTGTCAATGTGTCAATCCAAGACATGATTGCAGAACCAACCAAAAAGTTTGCTATAATAAAACACTATATAGTTACTATACTATAAACTTTAAACTATATGCTATAAAATTAAACTAGAAAACTACCGATGATGGGCCGGCCATTGTATAGAAACCAGAAGCTGCGTATGATTCTGAATAAGACAGTCAAGTCTCTATCCCACCCAGGAAATCAACAAACAGTAGCGACGGGGCAACATGCTCTACTGATACTGGCCACTTTGAAACCCCCAAAGTGTGAAGCCCAAAGGTTGAAAATGAGTAGGGAAGCTACCCTTCAACCTCAACTAGTTTTGTAATTGTTTGGCATGACTCCGATTTGTGCCTTGCAATGCCAAGTTGCAGCTGAAGTGACTCCTCGATAGACTCCAGGAGCTTTGCATTGGACTCCCGCTTCTTGGCATTGTCCACCATCATGTCCACGATTTTCTTCCCTTGCGGCGCTGTGAAAGCTTTCACTGCTCAATGCTTTGAGGAATCAATGCCTTTGCAAAACTCCAGGACGCGTCCTGACAAAAGGATGAGAACGAGATACGACATCTCCAAGTTGCGAAACCCTTGGCAAAGTAAAGTAAAGTAAAGTAAAGATAGTAACTAAGAAAGTAACTAAGTAAGTAAGTAAGCAAGCAAGCAAGTAAGTAAGTAAGTAAGCAAGCAAGTAAGTAAGTAAATTTTAAGCAAGTAAGTAAGAAAGTAACTAACTAACTAACTAACTAACTAACTAAGTCAGTAAGCAAGCAAGCAAGCAGGCAGGCAGGCAGGTAGGTAGGTAGGTCAGCAAGCAGGCAGACAAGCAGTAAGTAAGGTTAGTTTAGTTTAGTTGGTAAGGGTTTAGTTAGTTAGAGTTAGTTAGTTAGTTAGTTGGTTGGTTGGTTAGATACTTAAACTAGATAGATAGTTAGTTAGTTTGGTAGTTTGAAAGTTAGAAAATAGTAAGTAAGAACATAAGTTAATGACAATTATTCGGTTAATAAATCAATAAATCAACAAATAATATATTTCACGAACTAATAAATAGTAAGTTGTTTTGTAAGGTAAGTGTTGTTATGGTAAGTTATGTTAAGTTATGTTAAGTTATGCTAAGTTATGTTAAATCATGTATTATGTTAAATTGTTCAACTCGTTTGAAAGTAAGATTAAATTAAAGTTGATTAAAATTTAGAGTTTTTTCAAGTAAACTCTGGGAAAAAAGTAGTAAGCTAAATCTGTCAGTGAGAAAGTTCTGAGCATTCTAAGTTTCAAGTCAAGCAAGTAAGTAAGCAAGCAAGTAAGCAAGCAGCTAACATACATGCAAGTAAGTAGAAAACTAGTAAGTCAGTCAATTAGAAAGCATGTCATGCAAGAAAAGCAAGTAGCACGCAGGCAAGCAAGCGAGCAGGCAAGCAAGCGAGCAAGCAAGCAGGCCTGCAGGCAAGCAAGCAAGGAAGTTAGTTTGTTAGCTTCAGGCCTAAGCCTAGGACTAAGCTTTGGTTTTGTTTGGATACATGTTTTAGATATGATTGTGGAACTATTAGATATTCATTGGTGTGATGTTGAGACGTGAAATATGTTCTAGATTAGATATGTGAGGTGAGATATTTGTATTTTTTGGTCTATTAAATAATCAAGTAACAATGTTAATGATAATCAATGATAATTGATAACGGTTCAAATGGTGAATGATTAAATAATGATCAATAGATAATCTTGCAAAAGACTTTAGATTCATTTGTCATTAAAAAAGGTAATATAGACACTAGGCACTAGTCACTAATATATTGAAAAGTAATATATGTTTTAATAATAATTATATTATATAATTATATTATATAAAATATATTTAAATATTACATATTATATAAATATATTATAAATATATATTACCAATATACTATATAAATATTATATTATTTTTATATAATAAAATAAATAATAATTATTATATTATTATATTATATTATTAATTACTATATCATATTATATTATTTTTATCAATATATTGTAAAACTATGAAACTATGACTATGACTACTAGCCACTTGTAACATTATGACTACAACTTAGAACTTATAACTTATAATTCTAAATCTAAAATTAAAAAATTATAACTTATTAATATTTATAATTTATAACTACTTATAACTTAAAACTCATAGCTATAACTTATAACAAAACATACAAACCAGAAAAAGAAATTAAATTTAATATTATAATATAATTACAGTTTAAAGTAGTTTAAAGTTTAAAGTTTAAAGGTTTTTTAAAATATTCCGAAAAATATATATCATATCTTAGTCTTAATATATTTTATTAATAATAATAATATTAATATAATATAATAATATAATATAATTATAATAATAATATAATATAATATAATAATTTAATTTAATTTAATAATATATAAAAACCGCAGTTTGCAAATTTAAGTCCTAGTGCCGAGCCAAAGTTCAGCATTGATGCCAGGGATGCAAGGTTGTCTTCATGATCCATGCCTGACCCTGTCAAAGAAGCGTTCGTTGACATGAAGTCCACGAATCCCCGAAGGTAGCCAATCGACTCCTGAGTGATCGGTTTGGAAGTTGGCACGGACTTCACCAATTTCAGCAGCAGTAGGTTGGCGATGCTGCCAAAATAGTCCGGCGAATCCGGCAGGAGCTTCTGACAATGGGAGTGGAACTCGGTGAAGAAGTGCTCCCACTGGGCCAGTTTCAACACCTCCACAAGCAAAAAAAAGAAATAGAGTAGAGTCGAGGTTTCTCTCTCTGGATGCTGGTGGTCAATGAATTGGCTATCAATGTGAATAAACCAACCCACGCAACTACCGCTCACCAGCCGTGACAAGAGCTTCTTGTTCAAAGCATGCACCCACAGGCCCACAGGTGCATCAATAAATCGAAATCCGAAAATCTGAAACAAAACCCCAAAAAATAGTGTTCAAGATTTGTTTGAAGGTCTAGAGTCTAGAGTCTAGAGTCTAGAGAGTCGAGAGTCTAGAGTCTAGAGTCTAGAGTCAGAGTCCAGTGTCTAGAGTCGAGGGTCTTTAGTAAGTATGAAATGAATATAAAAATGCATGAAAGACTGGCCCTGCCTCCAGAGACCAAGTTTTCAGGATGCGCTTCCACACCTCCTGACCCACTGTCAAGTCCGCCATTTTCACAAAGGAATCATAGAGCTCCTTTCCGTCAGATGCAGACCCGTTGCTCAACTTCTTCAGCAGATCGATCAAGACAGTGCATTCCTCTGTCAGTTTGTTCAACCCGTCCTTCAAAGCTGTTGTTGTCAGAGCCGTCAAGCTTTGGCCACGCCTTCTCTTCAATGACTTCTGCTTTGTGCTGATGTTGTTCTTCAATTCAGTGAAGGCACTGCTTCGGTCCTAGACATTCTTTCACATCAGGGCTAAATGGAAGAGTCAGTGAAAGAGGTGCCTCTCAACGTTACATATGTCATCTCTATGTCTATGTCAATGTCTATGTTCTATGTTTATAACTTCTATGTCTATAACTTCTACAACTTCTTTAACTATCACGAATCACTACTATCACTGTTGAATTGAATATAATTAATTTATTTAATAAAATAAAATATAACATAAGACATAAGACATAAGATATAAAACAGCTCACAGATAATTAATCCAGGATAACATTTTCTGCTTGAGGACAAAGTGCAGTGCAAACTAAATCGGGTAAACCACCCAGATCTGTCCTTTACCCAAGCAAGGAACTTTCCATCGTCCATCGGCGTTGGCATGAGCTCCTTGAGCTCGCTCAAAGACGCTTGGAAACGTTCCATGACTTCCCTGTCTTCTGGGGACAAGTCGCTGACGGACGCATTTGCTACCTCATCGAAAGCACTCTCCAAATTGGTTCTGTTGGGTTTTCCGAGTGGGCCATCCCCATTCCCAAGTCGTTGCCTCTTGCCACTGCTGCTAAAAGCATCCGCCTCATCATCGTCATTGTTGGGGTTGGGGATCGCATTCTTCTTGTCCTCATCCTGCCTGGTTTCCGTTTCATTCGTTTCATCATGATCCTGCTGATCCTGATCCCTGGTCTTCTCCCTCTTGCCCCCACGACCTGCACGTGGCTTCACATTGGGCTTCGGCTTCGGAGCTGGCTTCTGTACCGGAGTTGGTTTAGGAGTCCCGCCTTGGCCACGGCCACCGCCTGTGTTGTCATTGCCACTTCCTTCAGGATTCAGCCTCTTGAACAAGGCAGCAAATGGCTGCACATCATCTTCGTCCTCGCTTTCCTGCACAGAAACAGAAGCTGTGAACTGGATTTGATTCAAGTTGAGTTACCTGCTGAATCTAAACAGAATTCAAGCTATGAAATGTAAGCCTTGGTCCAATCAAAGCACAAAAACAAATAGTCGTCTAGACGTCTGTACGAGTCAGAATCTCTCTTAGAGTCTTAGACTCTTAGACATTAGCAGCGTGTTACAAACGAGGACGTCCTGACAATAACGATGACTCGGTCCGTACTCATTAAAGAACAGCCAGCCCAGCGGGCTGAAGACACAGAAACATTGTATAGTTTAGTAAAGTATAATAATGAATCATGAATAATGATTATAATTTATAATTTATAATGAATAATGAATAATGATTGTAATCCCAACCCATCATTGAACTCTCCTGTCGGCATGAAGCCTTGCCTCCTCAGCTTCGTCTGGTGCATGATTGGGTGGTGTGCCCTGTGGCGTCCGATCAGGCTGGTTTGTGCCTGAACGGCTGGAACCAGACTACACAGTGACAGCTTCCGTTGTGCCATTGGACGCGGTCATCTGCCGAAGTAGATTGGAAAAAATGGCATCATTTTGGCCAATGTCAATGTCAGCATCATTCATTTCGGTGTTGCGGCTCAACATAGCCGCAGTTTCGTCAATATACTCGTACCGTCCTACCTTTGTGTGCTTGATTTGTGTTTGCTTGCACTGTGAAACTGGAAAACCTATTTTTCTTACAATGACACGAAATGAACTGATGACTGCTGTGATCCCAGAAAAACTAGTGCTAGTACTAGTTACTAGTTACTAGTGACTTCTTGTGTCCAGCCCCAGACCTTTGTGGAAAATGTGGGAACTTAAGGACTTGAAAATTTCTTGAAAGTCGAAATACATCCTCCTCCTCGATGACATCAACTCCACGCATTTTTTTGCCACGAAAGGTGATGGTCTTGATCTTGTCAGGCGGTGCTTCCCCGAACCTTTTTTCGTACTGGGCGAGTTCCAGGAAGGCACGCTTCGGGGCCTTAAGCCCGCATTTCTCCTCCTCGGCCATGAGAATTGTCTCCCGAAAGAAGGTATTCGTCAAGCGCAATGACGGGTTGGCCTGTTTGGCCTTGAGAAGTCGTTCGGAACCTCGAAGAAACTCATGGGACTTCTCCGGGTCATTGTCCAGGGCCTTATCCATGGCATTGATGGACCCAAAGCGCCTCAACAGCAAGGAGAGGTGACTGCAACAGCACCTTTCAAAAAAAAAACGCACACACGTTTGCAATTTGCAATTTCATTGTCGGGTTTTAAGCAGCTGTGTAGTGTAGAGTGATTGTGCAGCGTCAATGAATGTCCATTGTGCACTACAGTCCATACAGCCACCATGTTTAAGATCACAATACAATGTACAGAGTTTACATTGTTTGCAGTTTTACAATGATAATCAGTGATAGATAGCAATGGTATATTATTAAGAGTTTTCAGTTTTAATATATTACAATCAATTCAATAATATAATTAATAGTTACAATTACAGTAAAGAGTAGAGTCTAGAGTCTAGAGTCTAGAGTTAGAGTCTAAGTCTAGAGTCTAGAGTCTAGAGTCTAGAGTCTTTCAGGTTATTCAGTTTGTTGTAGTTTATAGTGGTTTTCAATGACAATGTGCAGCTGGTGCAGCGAACTTCTGGCACCATCACATGAAAATCATGAAAACTGAAAGCAATCTCCAACACGTCCGCCCATGCCATCGCCACCACCAAGACCAAGCCGAGCGGCATGATGAATCCACCTTTATCTGCAACCTTACCAGCCGGGTATGTCAATCAAGTCGCAACTTGAGTTGAAATTCCATGCCGGAGTTTACTGGTTTCCTAGAGTCTTGCAATTCGTTCTTTTCTTTGCTGAAATTGACTTCCAAGTACCATTTAGCAAGCAATGACCTCAAACACCGGGTTGAGCTGACTTTCCCTTAGGTGAACATTTGCTAGCTGCAATAATTTGCAATGATTTGGCCACTAGTGAACAATTATCTTGTTTTTTTCTGGCCAAGGCTAGCTAATGTTTGGAATCAAGCAACTGGAAATGATCAGGTACATCATACACATCGATGTTTACATTGTTTAAATTACTTACAAACTTACATAGTTAGTTTACATTGCATCCCTACACTAATGCACGAATCCAAAAAACATGCACAACCATTGATGTTGTGTCTCTCACACTGCAGAGCATCAGGATACAATGCCCTGTAGAGCACACTCACTAATGATAGTGAGTGCCCTGTGGGTTCCCCACACTGGATGAAGACACTAAACATGTTGTTGTTGGGACGGAGGCACGTATACACAGGCTCATTTGCAGGTCCTAGCAGCCGGCCCCTAAGTCCCTTTGTCAATGTTAACTTACATAGTTCGTTTACATTGCATCCCTACACTAATGCACGAATCCAAAAACCATGCACAACCATGCATGTTGTGTCTCTCACACTGCAGAGCATCAGGATACAATGCCCTGTAGAGCACACTCACTAATGATAGTGAGTGCCCTGTGGTTTCCCCACACTGGATGAAGACACTAAACATGTTGTTGTTGGGACGGAGGCACGTATACACAGGCTCATTTGCAGGTCCTAGCAGCCGGCCCCTAAGTCCCTTTTGTCAAGGTAAATGTAACATGTGCCGAAAAACGGAATGTCAATGTCATTGCAAACCGGGACATTTGACTTGAAACTAGCGGTGTAAGCTGGTCTTGTCCATTCCTCTTCAGTTCAGGAAGTTAAGGGTCAGTTGAAGTTTTGAGGTTTGGGGTTTTTGGGCTTTTAAGTTTTTTGGTTTAAGCCAAGTTAAAAAGTCATACGTAGTTTAAAGTTGAAAGTTTAAAGTTGAAAGGTGAGTTTTAAGAAATTGAAAGGTTAAAAAATTTAAGTGTTTAACTCTTTACAGTTTAAAGTTTAAAAGTTTAAAGTTTAAAGCGTTTAAAGTTTAAAATTTATTTTTTAAGTTTATATTAACGACTAGTGATTATATAATGGCTGCAGTTTTTTTAAGTAGTCAAGTTTGGTCCAAAGCCTAAAGTCTAAAGAGTCTAAAGTTTAAAGTTCAAATCTAACGAGTCTAAGGTTTAAATCAGTTTTCGCAGATTTAAAAAACGTGTTGGATGTCACGTTTCAAGCTTTAAGTGTTAAGGGCGTTCACCTGTACGGAACTTTACCGTTATGAGGTATGAGTTTCGGTTTTGTACAGGCGGGCTTCACTTTCTTTAATTGAAAACTAAGTGACAAATAAAAAGTTACAGTTACAGTTAAGTTCAATGTTAAAAGTTAAAACTTAAAACTACAATTAAAAATTAAAAGTAAAAGTTTAAAAGTCAATGCTCTTTGGAGAAGGCGATAACTTAACTGAAGGTAACTGGTTAACTTAATTGTAACTGGTTGGCTTAACTGTCGTACTGCTTTACTAACTCCAGAGTTTACCGGAGTGTACAAGCTCTGGGTTTTGGCGAGTTTAAACTTTAAAAATTTGCAATTTGTGGGTTATCTGAAGCTCACATGTTTTGAATTTAAAGTGGTCTTTAGTTTAGGTCAAGGTCTAGGATTGGGATTAGGGTTTCAGAGTTCAACGGGTTAGGCTCATGTATCCCATCCCAACATCTTAATTGATAAGCATCCTGTGGCCCATGTTGTGATTAGCACGATTGCCTATCTAAATTTAGAATTCTTACTCCCTCAGCCCCCTGCAAGACGTTCGGAATCTAGGAAGTCAAATGGAAAAATTAAGTTTAAATTTGCATGACATTGTTTAATTAAAAAGTTCACTTTTAAACTTTAAACTTTAAAATGACTTTAAAAAAACTTGCTTTTAGATTAGTTTAGTTTGGGAGTTTGCCGTTTGTAGTTTACAGTCCAGGAGTTAAAGGTTAAGTTTAGGATTTAGGATTTGTGGGATTTGACAATTTTAGGGTTAAGGAATTTAGGTTTTTGAATGTCGGGAGGTTTGCAGGTATGTGTTTAATTAAAGACTAGGAGTCAAGGGTCTGGGACTAGGAGTTTAGCCTCTAAGACTCTAGGAGTTTGAGGATTTGGGGTTTCGGGTTTTGGAATTGGTTTGGGGTTTAAGGGAGTTGAGCAGTTGAGGGTTTGGAAGTTTAGGGTTTGGGAGTTTAGGGTTTAGGAGTTTAGGGTTTAGGAGTTTAGGGTTTAGGGTTTAGAGCCCGGTTTAGTTTAGGGCTTAGGGTTTAGGAGTTTAGGGTTTAGGAGTTTATGGTTTAGGAGATTAGGGCTTAGGAGATTAGGGTTTTAGAGCTTAGGGTTTAGGAGTTTAGGGTTTAGGAGTTTAGGGTTTAGGAGTTTAGGGTTTGAGAGTTTAGGGTTTAGGGTTTTAGAGCTTGGGGTTTAGGAGTCTAGGGTTTAGGAGTTTAGTAAGGGTTTAGGGGTTTAGGGTTTAGGAGTTTAGGGTTTAGGAGTTTAGGGTTTAGGAGTTTAGGGTTTGAGAGTTTAGGGTTTAGGGTTTTAGAGCTTGGGGTTTAGGAGTCTAGGGTTTAGGAGTTTAGTAAGGGTTTAGGGGTTTAGGGTTTAGGAGTTTAGGGTTTAGGAGTTTAGGGTTTAGGAGTTTAGGGTTTGAGAGTTTAGGGTTTAGGGTTTTAGAGCTTGGGGTTTAGGAGTCTAGGGTTTAGGAGTTTAGGAGTCTAGGGTTTAGGGGTTTAGGGTTTAAGAGCTTAGGGTTTAGGAGTTTAGGGTTTAGGAGTTTAGGAGTTTAGGGTTTGAGAGTTTAGGGTTTTGGGTTTTAGAGCTTGGGGTTTAGGAGTCTAGGGTTTAGGAGTTTAGTAAGGGTTTAGGGGTTTAGGGTTTAGGAGTTTAGGGTTTAGGAGTTTAGGGTTTAGGAGTTTAGGGTTTGAGAGTTTAGGGTTTAGGGTTTTAGAGCTTGGGGTTTAGGAGTCTAGGGCTTAGGAGTTTAGTAAGGGTTTAGGGGTTTAGGGTTTAAGAGCTTAGGGTTTAGGAGTTTAGAGTTTAGGAGTTTAGGGTTTGAGAGTTTAGGGTTTAGGGTTTTAGAGCTTGGGGTTTAGGAGTCTAGGGTTTAGGAGTTTAGTAAGGGTTTAGGGGTTTAGGGTTTAAGAGTTTAGGGTTTAGGAGTTTAGGGTTTAGGACATTAGGGTTTTAGAGTTTAGGGTTTAGGAGTTTGGGCATGTTAGGAGTTTAGGGTTTAGGTTTAGGGTTTTAGGGTAAAATTTTAGGGTGTAGTATTTTAAGTTGTAAGTTTAAACTTTAAGGTAGGTTTAGTTTAGGGCAGGGTTTCTGTTTGTATATTGTTGCAGTTATGTACCATATTGTTGTAACAATGGGTCTTTCATACCAATGTACCTTATGTCACAAAACATTGTGCCAATGTGTTGTACCCATGCACCAATGTTATGTACCAAGATGTTGTACCAATGTACCTTATGAAACAAAACATTGTACCAATGTGTTGTACCCATGTACCAATGTTATGTACCAAGATGTTGTACCAAAAATAGCAGCAAGCAATATCAGCTGCTATTTTTGGTACAACATCTTGGTACATAACATTGGTACATGGGTACAACACATTGGTACAATGTTTTGTTTCATAAGGTACATTGGTACAACATCTTGGTACATAACATTGGCACATGGGTACAACACAGTGGTACATTCATATACATTTCTGTCCAAGGAATGTGAGCCCTTCGTAGCATAACATTGTCCATCGATTTGGGTGATACAATGTCTCCGAAATGAAAGTCCTCTGTATATGAATAGATACCTATTGCAGTTTCCTGAATTCTGTCACTGTGTGGCTCGCTAATTCCGCCGTTAGATCAATCATGAATCATAATTCATTCATGACCATATACAGTCACTTTGCTGTTCCTGAACCTGTCCAACAAAATAAAATCCCATGCATGGGCCATCACCAATGATTCACACCATAAGGTTGCCATAAGCACGGGTTACGGACAAATGGAAACCAAATTTGACTGGATATTGCATATAGGTTCATTGTCATATTGTCCCTAATTACAGGCAATCTGCGAGCTGCAACGATCAGGACAAGGTTCATTCTTGCAAATGAGACAATGGTTCCCGACTGGTTTCTCCAGGCTTCCTGCAGCCCATGCCGTGCATAGAGACCATGCCTTCTCTGGAGACTTCCGTTGATCATATCGGCAACGCGATGTTGACCAAATCCTTGCATCACAGAACTGACTCAGGTGATGAGTGTATTCACTGATTAAGCTTTTTAGATCTGTTCGTATCGAATTATTCTACCAATATTGAGATTAATAATACCGGTACACTCATGATGTCTGAAATGGATTTGAAGCGAAAAACTAGTTGGTTCAATCAATAAAAAACTGTTTAGCCAATAGCCTATAGTCGAAGTCAGCAGATTAACAAGATAGTCGTATTATTATTATTTAGTATTATGATATTGTTACTGTAAAGCCAAGTAAATTATAATATACTAATATAATACATAGTATATTTAGTAAAGTAAATAGAATAGTGAAAATGTAGTAAATATATAGTGTATAAGCTATATGTATATAAAGTTTAGTATAGTATAGCAGCAGATTAAGTAAAAGTATATAATATGTAGTCTAGTATAGTAATAAAGTATGAGTATGTAAATTATAAAAGTGAATAAGTAAAGTAAAGTATACTAATGAAAAAATAAATTAAAGTAAAACAGTTTAGTCATGGCTTAGTTTAGTTTTGTACAATATCTTATTAAATTATTAAATAGTAAGTATAGTAGTACTATAGTAGTATAGTATAGAAAAGGAACAATATAGATTACAGGGTCTAGTCTAGAGTTAGAAACTAGAGGAATTTAAACATATAAAATATGGACAATATAGTAATCCAATATGATTCTTCATTATAATTTGACAAGAACTAAAAAATAAAAGCCGAAGATTAGTCTAAGAGTCTAAGAATATGTTCAAGTTCAAGTGTACAGTACCTTTGAGTACTGATATATGTCAAGTTATATACTTTTAGACTAGAGTTAAAGTCATAGTCATAGTTATAAGTTATAGGCAAGCTATAAAAATTAGACTCTAGGGTCATAGTCGTTATAGTCATAGTCATAGTCTAGAGTAATGGAAAGTGTATGGAGCGGATTGAGTTGTCAAGACTAACAACAATCATAAAACTAATACCAATTGGACCAATTGGATCAATTATACAACTTATAACTTATATAATCAATTTCCGATAACCAATCAATTACTCAATTACTTATCATTACTAATTGTAACTTGTTGCTGCGACTGTGACTGTTAAATTAAATTTGAAATGTCAAATTATTTGAACAATTGGCCGTAAGCACGCCCCACAAGGCAAAGCAGTGAAAGTGAAAATTGGCCGTAAGCACGCCCCACAAGGCAAAGTAGTGAAAGTGAAAGTGAAAGTGAAAGCGAAAGAAAGTGATCAAAAACATTTCCGAGTCAGAGACGATAGGGAAACAACAATGAAGAATCAGAATGAAGTCCTGAAGCATCAAGAATCACGACTGAATCAAATCATTGAATGAAATCCCTGAAAACCCGGACGATGGTTGATTTTTTAATCTCTGGAATTCTGAAGTTCATGCAACCAAGAAGCCCACAACGACGACAGCGCTTGGCTTGATAGCCAGCTGGTAGTTCAACACCTGGTGGAGCATCTGGTGCTGCCGCGGCGTGGCTGGACGAAGCAGCGGAATTTGGCATGGCGAACTCTGATCACAATCTTAGTCTAAGCTCGGCAACTCACAAGGAGTAGGTCAGTGGAGGAAGGGCGCGGATTGATAAAACATCGAAAGTGCAATATTGTTTATTGCAGTACTCAGTAATCTCAGAAATCAGAAATGATAAATATAATTAATATATAATATAGTAAGTAGAATATAAATATATATATATATATATATTATAAAAAAATATATATATGACATTTGCCATGACATTGTTTTTATGAATCATACATAATCATACAGTGTATGACTGATGAAACTTCGCATCAGCTTTTCACCCCTTCTCTCCCCTGACTTGACGAAAACGTTCCGCTGTGTTTTCCAATGAAGAATGCATCGCAGTGGAACTGAAGTTGTTTGAATGACTTGAACTGACTTGACACATACTAGTACCTCCGTATTTCTCTCCGTTTCTCGCCGCATTTTTCCAAAACGACAACCGCCTGAAACATACATTTCCCAAATGTCAAATGTCTGAAGACTATACAGATCAAGCATATCTCTTCAAGGCGGCAGACTGTGGTCCATCAGGGCCACGCGAAGAAACGTTTGCATGGCTAGGTCAACCCGAGATGTGCTTTCCACCTCAGACACATGCACACAAATGTGTCACAAGCTCATTTCCCGCTTCTGTAAGCAGCACATGGTCAATATTGCAGTCAACTACTGAACCGGCCAAACTTGAATTCGCAAGTTTCAGTAACAACTAATAGTAACGACAGTGACAAAACAAACACATGGATTGGACTAGCCCTATGTGAATTTTCATTAATCATTAATCATTAAATTAAATTAAATCATGCAATGACACTCTGCAGTTCGAGATGTTGACAGTCTGCAATTTGAAATTCAAATTATACTATAAACTATAAACTATAAACTATAAACTTTAAACTATAAATATAAATTTTAAATTATAATAATAATAATCTAATTAATAAAGGAAGTAAAGTAGCAAGTACAGTACAAGTAACGTTGCTTTGTGCTCCGCTCCGCCATTCTTCCCACCGGGGACGGACAAGCCAGATTGCAACCACTGCAGCATGCGGGCTTCGGAATTGCCAGAAAGCTTCTTCACTCCAACCAGGACTTTGCAATTTGCGTGAAGTCCTGAGGATGAACATCCGGCAGGATGAACATCAGTGTCAGTGTCAGTCCAGTAACGGATCGTAACCGGATTTAAATTAGTAATCATTACGGTAGTGGTTGCGGCTAGTGGTAACAAACAAAATCGCCGAACGCAAATGATGTTCTTTCTCACATCATATCTGATCTGGCACAGGCAAAATGGATTCTGGGAACAATGGATCAATGATCAATCCATCCGGTTTTAAAATCACAATGTCATCTGAAATTTAACTACAATAATACTGACAATACCGATACTGACCTTGACATCCAGTACACGCATTGCCGATTCAAAAACCAGAAAAAAAGGTTTTCGGAGAATTTACTTCCCCATCCCCATATATACCAAATTGTGTAGCCTGCCGCTAAACTCCTGCAAGTCACCACACCTGATGGATATTGCATGTCCGGGCTCTCCGATTCGAATTTCAGTAATTCTGCCTTAAGTAAGGCTGGAAGCAGGCGAGTCAAAAACTCTAAGACAAAGTTCAAGTTCAAGTCAAGTCTGTGTCTGAGTCTAAGGAAAAGGTCCAGGTCAAAGTTCTAGATTCTAGATTCTAGATCCTATAGATTCTAAAGTCAAGTCAAATCGAATGATGATTCAAATGCAAATTAATGAATTATGAAGTATGTGAGCATCATGAGCATCTCTGTTAAATTTAAACAGTTAGAATTCAAGGAAAATATGTGCGTCTTGTTTTCATTACAGTTACAGTCACAGTCATTCTAACATACCGTTAGCCGCAGGCCGTTAGTTAACAAAAAACATCCAAGTGAGGCCATGCATGAAGAAATCAGCTGCAACTGACATCGCGCACATCTTTAATCTGACTCACAAATAACTAATAACTATAACGAGACGAAACTAATGACATCGACATCGACGTGACATCGAAGCCGAAACATGCCGAAACAGAAACACAAGCAACTGAGTAGGGCTGAGTAAGGCCAGGGCACCCAAGTGGACACCCATTTCTTTCCCGTCTTTGGGAAGAAAGCAGTACCCCGTTTGATTTTTCCATGGAACAGGAGGTGGTGGATCAGCCACCGGTGCCACCGGTGCAGGATCAGATGATCCGCGTGCACTTGAAGAGCTGGGTTCAGATGGTGGCAGTGGCAAATCTGCTTCAAGTGCTCCAATCCAAGCACGTTCAATTTCACCATGAACGTCCCCTGCCACACCAGGTTCCTCTGGGCTGTCATCTCTTCCGTCCTCCACGGGTGGGGCTGGGGCATTGCTGTTCTCAGATTGCTGTCCTGAAGCTTGTAATCTCTTGGCCTTCTGGTCTTGTTTGGTTACCTTCCTGACTGCTTTGGCTCTTGGCTTGCATTTAGCCTTTGCCCTTCTGGGCTTGCCGTCCTTTGCAGCAGCCAACGCGTTTCTTAGTAAATCTGACCGTTTCTTGGCCAATTTCTGATCATCGTCATTGTTGTCTTCTGACTCGTCATCCGCAGCCTGAGCTGCTGCTTGGGAATTTCTCAAAGTAGCTTCCTCAAGGTCTTCAACCGAATCAATGTCCAAGGCACCAAATTTGCGCCCACAATAGCGAAGGATATGAAGGCTGTGGCTGTCAGCATCAATGCTCTGACAACACTGTTTCAAAAACAGATCAAGAGAGAAAACCTCTGGCAAACCATCAGGTGTAGGCTGCATTTTTGCAACCCAAGTGGTTGCAGCATCAGTACCTGGATTCAGGCGCTCCAATGTGAGCTTCACCAGAGTGGCATCAAATGGAGAGAACTGAATTTTGGACAGCAGGTAGCAGGCATCTCCGCACTTCAAGGCCTGCAAATCTTTCATTTCATTCGGTAGAACAATGACAAGGGGGTGGTCTGGCAGAAACCCTTTTGTTTTGCGAGATTGCCTGGCAATGCGCAGAACTGCTTTGAATTGCTCTGCCCAGAAGCTGTGGTGATCCATCCGTTCTGCATCTCTTGCGCACAAATCGATTGGGCATATGCCATCGACGTCGAAGTCATCCTCCTCCAAATCAGAGTCGCGGTCATCGCCATCGCAGTCCTCTAGTTGAATCAATTGGCCATGGTCTTTCTCAAACTGCTGGTGCATCGCTTGCATCCAATTGGGACATTTCTGACGCTCCTCCTCAACCACCCTTTCTGCAATGGCATAATGCCGGTCGGCCAAGCCAGAGAAATCAGGGAATTGCGGGCCATCACGATGGGGAACCAGTTGGCCATCGTTTTGAGTTGCCTGCGCCAGCTGTTCAGAGGACTTGCTCCTCACAAGAGCATTGTGTTGCTTGGCAACGCGGGACTTCTCCTGCGGCAGGGGCAGAAGTGGACACCAGAAATAGTTTTGAACCCTGAATCCCCAAAGTACATCCCGCCCACAATGTCGCCTTGAAAATTCGAAGAGATCAATAATTCAATCTGTACCCCCTTTCTTGTTAAAGTCATAGTACTTGGCTTTCTCAGAAATGATTTCCATAACATTCCCAGTGGACTGCATTCTGTCCCACGAACGAAGAACCTGATGGAGAGGAACGGCTGAGAATGCATGAAGACACAGAGGCGTGAAGTGGAGCAAATATGTTGAAGTGACCACAAATCCCAAATTCCAATCCAGACAAGAAATAAAAATTTTAAGTTAATGTTAATAATAAAAAAAGTAGTTGAAGGCGTTTTTAAACTTAAAGAAAGAAATTTTTGAAAGTTTAGTTTAAAAGATTATAGTTTATAGTAGTTTCAAATTCTAAAGAAAGTTAAAGTTGCTAAAACGTTTTTAACAATTAGTGAAACTATAAAAGTTTTAAGGTTTAAATAAATTTATAGTTTTTAATTTTTAAGTTGTAAAGTTGTAAAGTTTAAGTTTTTAAACGTTTAAATTTAAATTGTATTAAATCAGGTAAAGGTTATTATTATATTAAAGTTAGTTTAGAGTTTAGAGTCTAGAGTTGGAATTTTAAAGGTTAGGTTTAAAAGTTTAAAGTTTAAAGTTTGTTTAAAGTTTGAATTTAAAGTTTAAAAATTTAAATTTAAAGTTCATTTAAAATTAAAAGTTTAAAAGTTTAAAGTTTACAGTGTAGTCTATGCACCTAGGCAGGCCAATATCAAAGCAACAACAAGATCAAACCGGGAAAGTAGCTTAAAATTTAAAGTTCAAATTTCAAAGTTTAAAATTTAAAGTTTAAAGTTTTAGTTTAAGTTTAAAGTTTAGAAGTCTTTAAAGTTTCAAAAAAAGAAGTTTTAAAGTAGTTGAAAAAATGCAAATAATAAAATAGTTTGACTTGAGAAATATCTCGGCTGGCAGTCTAGTCCTTCTTGAACTCAGGGGTGGCTGCTGCCCATAGTGCTGACGCCTCACTCCATGTCCTGGAAAGCGTTGCACTTCTGCTCTCCCCTGGGTATGATACCTTGGGCGTCGCAATTCTCTGAACGGCTTGACTACAAGCAGTGTACATAGTACAGAGCCTGTACAGGTTTATGTGTACAGTGCAGTGTATACAGTTAGTATACTTACTATACTAATACTATACTTACTATTACTATACTATACTATACATACTCATACTCGGTAAGTGAAAAAACATGTCTTGAACTTAGACTTAGACTTCAACTGAAACTTAAACTTGGACTTAGGCTGAGACTTGAACTTAGACGACTTAAACTGTCAATATTCACGTTCAGATTCATGTGCTCAATAGAGTGCGAAAAGCTCATTGGCCTATGTCATGTTGCATGAGGATTCATTCATAATTCCTGCTGGGGTGCCATCGAGTGAAGCCGATCCTTCAGAAACAAAGTGAATCCGTTGTATGAACAGGCTGAAGACTGAGAGCAGTCTCCCTGCTCTGGAGCATGTGGGCTTTCAAGGCGACACTGTTCGTACCTTGCTCTCTCTGCTTCCAGCACAGCACGTTGGTGGTCCTTCTGCAACTCCCCCAAAATGAATTTTCCGACCTCACCGAACGTAAATTGACATTGAAACGAATCAAAAGCATACCTACAGCATCCGTATTGCAAAGTAAACGCGCTGTCCATTGAAAGGGGTCCTCAAAATAAAAGGAACCTTTTCATTATCATGAATCATTAGGATACCTTTCAAATGAGAGCCTGCTAGTAACAAGTAACGGGCTTGAAATGAAATCACAGGCTGCTGGCTGAAAATTGAAAATGTTCAAACGGTGTCTTCAACTTTTGACTCTCAGGTTGCGGCCATGCTGGTGATACCATGGCCCCTCCCCTGCGTCACCCTTGGACATGCCGGTTCTGCTCTGAGAATTCAAGTTTTTAATCTAAGTGGCATATCGGGAATAACGTGTGAAGTAAAGTGTAACAGAGTCACTGTAATGTAAAGAGTAAAGTATACTGAGTAATGAGTAAAGTTTAAATTTAGAAAGTTTTAGCGATTCTTTTAGTGTACAGTGTAAAGTGTAAAGTGTAAAGTTTAAAGTTTACTTTTAAAGCGTAAGTGCAACAGTGTGCAGTGTACAGTGTAAAGCTAAGTAAAGTGTAATACTATTATACTGTAAAAGTGTAAAGTGTAAAAGTAAAGTGTACAGTGTAAAGTGTAAAGTTAAGTTTAAAGTTTAGTGACTAGTGTAAAGTTTAAAGTGTACAGTACCGTGTAAGTTTAAAGTGTAAAGTTTTAAACTTTAACTGTAACTGTTAACTTTAAACTTCAAACTTTAAAGTAAGTGTACAGTGTGTACAGTGTAAAGGTAAAGTACAGTTTAGAATAGAATAGAATCGAATGTAAAGACATGTGAACTTTGAAGACTTGAAAGAGCTGAGTACTGTTTCCTGTTCCAAGCTGAGCCGTCAGCCGGCGCTGAGCAGCAGCCCGAGCAAAATTGCACTCTATCTGTGCATTCACCAGCTTCCTCATCATGAGCAACCGGACCTCAGAAGGCCAAAGAGTAAGAGGAAAGCAACCCAACTCAGCCACATTGACAATCGCACATGGCTAGCACAAACACGGCCACGAAGTTGACACAAATTCTCATAGGCCAGGGCCATATGGCTCAGGGGGGCCCCGGGAAGCAACGCTTCAGGTGCCAAATTGTTCTCCTGGGCGGGCAACAGCTTACTTGCCAATGGCGGCAACATCTTACTGGCTTACTTGCCAATCATAGCATCGCATTGCAGTTCCACTCCACAATGGAACCACATGAGAGTAGCAAAGGTATGATGATCAATGATAAATGATAACTGATAACACTGATCACTGATCACTGATAACTATTGATAATTGATAAATAGATAATAAATATGACTAGACGACTATGACGACTACATACAACTACTATGACTAGACTGACTAGACTATGACTATAGACTGCAGACTGTAACTATATAAACTAATATAAGTCAAAGAACACAGCAGCTCAGCAACCTCAGTCCTTCATGTAACGCTGCAATGGCAAGGAAAATCCCTTGTCCAAACAGCAATCTCGGGCAGTCATGAATTTCCTGGCCAGCTGATTTTTTTCCTCGAAACTCACGTCTGGGTCGGTAAGTTGGCCCAAGCTGTAAGGCCAAACCTGGGCAGATATGAGCTGGTGAACAAGATCAGCAACAGCAGTTGTCTCTGAAAGCAAGCTGAAGGAAACCGGACAGAGGAAGGAAACCAATACCAAGGCGGTTTTCAATCATTCAAGATTCAAGCTTCAAACTTGCAATTGTCAACCTTGTTGGCGTTGGCATTGAAATCAAAATCAAAATAAATATAATCAACGCCCAAAAATGACGCAACACTTCCACCAAAAGTCAGGCAGCCTGAAACACAGAGTGGAAAAGCCTGTGCCAAACATGGCCGATGCAGGAGTAGAGTACGAAATTCGCCAAATGCATCGCTCCATCGTCGAATCCTCTATGGCAAGCAGGAGCCAGGACGGGAAACTCGTAGAGACTCGTATACTTACTCTTAGTTACTGTTACTGTACATACGCTGTACTTGCCGATGATAATTCAATACTGTCGCATGGTTGCGCGATATGATATGTCTCCAACATGCACTTTGACTTTGACCAAATATGATAAATCTGATCTGCAGCAGCAGGATCGATCCTTTCAAGCACACCGGAGCTTCACCATTCGCCATGTCGATGTAATCCTTCAGTGCGATAGCTGCAATCGACCTGAAGCAAACAGCGACTGCATCAAGCATTCGCAAAATGCACCAAGCATGACAAATCACATAAGGCCACGTGAATCCAAGTGAGAAACTTCTTCTTTGAAGTCATCTTCACAGCTGGCAATCGCTCACTCGGCTGCGTTCCGTCCATCCAGTCGCGGCGCTGCATTTCTCGAAGAATCTGAAACCTCACACGCGCTGAGAATTCAACTGCTCAAGGCTAACATGAGCTGGAAAACAATCTGATTTCTCATTAATCATATCTAAATCATCAACCATCTTATAGGATTATCAAATCGCTGGCTACTTACTGATCACCAACGCATGATGACAAAGCATCAACCACGTGGATGTCAAAACAAAATAAAACGATCTTAACGACATTTGACATCTGTGACACATGCAATCAAAATTGTCAAAATCAATCATCACTATTAGCCACTCAGTGCTAATCAGGTTTGGTTTTGCTGTCTCACTAGCCCTGGAGCGAACATAACTTGATAAAATAAAGCCAGCTACCTCACACCTGATTGGCAACCTCTGACTACGGAAATTTGAATCCGAAAGACATTTGGCACAATTTCTAGTCGTGCAGCATTTCCCTCTTGAGGCTCAGGCATCAAGCGCTCCAGCGGGGACAGGCAAAGAGAAGCTGAAATCAAAACAGACAATGTAGTTGGCTTTTCCATCCATGAAGTGACCTTCTTCGCCCTGATTCTCTGCACTCTCTGGTAAGAATCGCCAAAGTGGTCATCGAAGAGTAAGGACTGCGCAGGCACCAAATCAGCTGAATCACCTCCGCCTTCGGATTGCCAGTGGGCTCCCTGCACAACAACGGCAACTGATTGGCAAATGTAAAATTTCAAACAGTCAAATCAAATAAGATCGAATCAAAATCAATTAAGCACTCTGACAAACACAAGTGCCGGTTGCAAATATTCTGCTACACACTGCACATGTAGAGAGGCAAGGGCGCCTGCTTGAACAAGAGCTGCCTCGTGCAAATTGTAGCTATTGTGCCTGATGCTCTTAATAAAATAATAACTTAATAACTTAATAACTAATAACTATAATTATTACGTTATAACTTACGACTATCACTCTTAGCTGAACTGTCTTGACTCTCTTAACTCTTGACTCCCGACTCCCAATTTTAATCATCATGATTCGATAATATAATCATAGTTGGATCTTGATTCTTTTGCAATCCTTACTGACTGACGTTGTGTTGACACAAGCAGGGGCACGCGGCATGGTGTTTGAGGTGTGGACCATGCTTGCCCAAGCAGGTTGTGCAACGCAAAGCCCAGCCTGCAAGCAAAATCTTAAGTTGAAAGAATATACACCCTGGTTGCAATTTTCCCGTTGGCTTGCCGGAAAAGAACCCCCCCAGATACAGATTGAACATCTGCTAATGCTATCTCAGGAATCGGCATGAAGAAACGAGCGTTCTCGCCACAAGACAACCACCTCGATATATTTGGAATGCTTGGTCTCTTGGCAAGCCTTGGTCACGAAAGAAGCCATTTGTCGCACAGCACATGTCCACCATCGGCTAAAGTTCCAAAGTTCCAAAGTTCCAATTCAACAGGACAACTTCAAGAGTCAAGCCAAAACCTCACAACTCACTTCAAAAACTCATTGACTCAAAACTCAAAACCTTTGCCTTTGCCTGACCTAATCTATACCATAAACAATTTTCCCTTGAACCGGGGTTCCAAAATAAATTGGTGTGGTGTTCCAAGATGTTTACATTGAAGTGCTGAATACTGGAAGCGTAAGCATCAGCAGCATAAGTAATAAACAGAAAAATCTTTCCATACCCGACTGAGCCCACCGCGCATAATCCAAAAATGCGGCGAAGAATTTCTGGCCTTGACCCACGCAGCCACAACCCTATGTTACTTATATGAATCGCTACTATAAAACCAGTTTATAAATTATAAACATTGGTAAATTTCCACTTAGGTTGGTTCACCAAAAAAGGCCCCCACAAGTCCCCCAAAAACAGTGTTTTCCCTGCATTTTATGAAATATTTTGGGACTTGTGGGGGGCTTTTTTGGGGGACCAACCCAAGTGGAAAATTAGCAGTATAACAGTATCAGTATAACTTTAACTAGACTATAACTATAACAAATAAACATATCATAACTTATAAATAAACAATGCTGTCTTCATTCAAAAAAACTTCGACTTTTCAGCACAACTTTGGACCTCAGAGCCACGAGAAACACCGTGAGCTGAAAACGGCTTGGGACCTGACCACTTTCTTCCTGGGACATACAACATCCAAGTCTGCAATGGTGAACCGGAACGCTGCTCGTCCAATCCTCATGGCAATTCACAGCTCAAACTCGAAGCCTCAGAGCCTTGCCTTACCCTTGGCCCTTAGCTATTACTTACTTAAGGTAACTTAGGCCTTTTCAAGCTAGGCTTAAAGAAGACTTACTTAAGCTGCGCTACTTAAGTTAGACAGACTACATTGATTTGGTTTAATAATAATGAGATCGAAGACACCAGCGCCGGCATCTTCACCCAAGAGAACTATACCTGGGATTGGCGAGTATCTCCATTGGCCATAAGCAAAAGCATTTCAGCGGAGTGGGCCCGCTGGCTTTGAGCATCTGGATCCTGGTCCTGCTCCTCAATGCCATCAGACGGGTGGGGACCTTAGCTTCAGATATCTGGGGCTCTAGACTCTAGGTATGCTTTCTCTAGTCTTGTATCACTTGTATCTGAGGCTTTTGTAATAGGAACACGACCAAGTTAACGACGAACTATTTGCTTTCAACTCTGATTCTCAGCAATCTGCTTCGGCGATGGGCTTCTTCCATCAAGCTGCGGGCGTAGCTCAAATGTTCATCCCCAGGCCTGGGAAAATGATGAGACTTGCATGGTTGACTTATGACTTATGAGAAACAGAAAGGCCACAAATCCAAAAGGATTGCAATCAACAGAGCAGCAATTCAATGGAAGGGCAATGGACCCAACACAGGGTCGAGGAGAGCTGGGATCTGGGCTTGTCGTACTTGATGACAAGTCTGGTCGTCAGCAGCCATCTGATCTTCACAATGAGTTCGTAAAACAATGACCCCTGAGTCAGCAGCGATGAGCAGTTGAACCTCGTGCGTGTCTGTACAGGGGAATTGACGCAAAGCCGCGACATTAACAAATAACTCAACTTCACACGCGTTACACATTTCTGAAAACCAGATTAAGATCAGGCTGCGACATGTCCGGTAGGCAGCCCAGCGTTTTCCAAGCAATTTCCCCCGCGAGATTTGCCTGGTGCCTCATCAGCTCACAGAAAAAGGTCCGAAAGTTACAATATTAATATCATCATATCGTGTCATATCCCCGATCATATCATCATACTATCATATTATTATTTCAAATCATATCATATCAAAGAAGAACTATTATTATTATCTATATATCATATTATAATAACAGTCATAAGTCATAAGTTATAAATTATTATTCTGAAATTGGCAATATTGCAAAATTGCAGTATGTCATTTCAGTATCAGGAGGAGTCAGCATGAGTTAGTGAGCGATGAGTGATCAGCCAGCTTGACATGACGCAGACAAACAGCCGAAATGAGCATGCTGGGGGTCCGACATGAGGCACTTTTGCATAGCTGTCAACATGTTTTTCGGACAAGTGCTCACCACCCGTCTAAACAAAAGGGCGTTGGCAGGCGCGTTGTCGCAAACGAACTGCAGAAGAACCAATGGGGCTTCTGCAGCTAAGCCTCCGAAACAACGATTTAAAATGAGAGTCAATGACTCGGAGATGATTGATAGTCGTTGTCTGTCGTTGTACTCAATTTCCCGTTCCCATGTAATCATATACATTCTGTACCAGTATATTAGTACATTACATACTTGATACTTAAAGAAGATTTCCCTTAAAAGGGGTCCTCAGGGTGAATGGGTCCGCGCGCGCGCGCGCGCCAAAAAGGTCTCAAAATTGAAGCCATTTTGGCGCGCGCGCGGACCCCTTTCACCCCAAGGACCCCTTTCAAAGGAAATTGTGCTTTTAGCAGCTTTAGCAACTATGCATCGGCGTCTCAAAGAATTGTATTTTTTCAAAGCTTCTTAGTTTTCACCACCACAATCAGCGGCAGACCCAATCAATCATTGAGAACTGCAAACCTGAAACTTGCCTGAAACTCTGAAACCGAAATTCACATCGACACAATTTCGGAAAACACAGGCAACTTCCACTGAGGGAAGGTCTGTATGGGTGCTTCATCTGTTTCTCCATCAAGCCCTTCCAAAGCGACTTGGCAGTTTGCCGCCACAGAACCGCAGGTGCATTGATAATCTCAGCAGCGCCGGCGCGGATGTTTGCAAGAAATTAGATTCACATTGAAAAACAACTTAACTCAACCATCTCAACTCAACCCAGCCAAAGTCTCAAGCTATTTTAGCCTTAACGACTTAACGGCCTTAAAATGTGTTTGTTGTGAGTTCCCCAAGCAGCTTGGTTCTGGAATCATATCCACCATAATTATTAAACATACAAGTTAGCAAAATAAAAGCCAAAAAAAATTAAATGAAGGTGAGACCCTCAGGTGCGTACCAACATAGGCTCAACTCATGGCTATTTATTTATTTAGTTATTTATTTGCATTTATTGCGCTCACTATGTCACAAAATAATTGGTTTATCCTGCCCAGCACCAACGCGCCAGGGAACTCATAAGTTTTTTGATACACTGCAATGTTATGTCATGGGTCATGAGTCCAAGTGAATTTTCAACACGCTCTCTCACAATTTTAGCTTCCTCAATCTTAGCACTCCAAACTGGCTAAGGTGCTGACGGACCTCGAGAGAACACCATGCGGTCCAGAAACAAAGGCAGTAGTCCTGGAAACCTTAGTGTTCGTCTTCGCACAGGTTCTTTTGCGATTCAGTTCAGGTGCTGTCAATTTCGCTTTGACCCTGCGCCCCACTACTATCAAGAATCAAGAAACTAAGACTGACAGCGTGGTGGCGTGGTCACGGGACCACTGCCGCCGTAGCCTCAACTTCTGGCCTGTTTCATCGAATTCGATGTGCAGGGCCAGTGCAAAACTGCTTGACTGGCCCTGCGACATCATTTCGATAAAGTTTGCGCGCTGTCTTTCAAGATAGAGGCTGCACAATGCATGCCTTGCCTCAAATGAACCCGGAAGGTTAGAGTTAGAGTCCAATGAGTCCAATGCAACAATTTGCCAATGACTGACCCATACTGAATCTACAGCCAGACTGCCTGAGAAATGGTGGATGTCCCACTGCGCAAAAAAAAGGCCAGGGCATTGACTGAAAACCTGATGCAATGCGGCAATGCGGCACGTGCAGTTGAGTAAGAAACAAAGCACCAGCAGCAAAGTTTCAAAAGAATTTGCTACATCAATCCAGACTGAGTCACTGCACAGCCATGTAATCAGATCAGCAAACAGAAACACACAGAAGCTGCACAAGTAACATGCATGGCGATTTACTCGCCAACTTTGCCAGCTTCGGTTTCCCCTTGCCCTTGCCCTTCCGTACAACTTGCTCGGAGGAGCGGCCTAGCCTTGAGGAGGCAGTTAAAACTTAAAACTATGGAAGTTCTGTTGCCTGACATGTTACTGTTTCGGTTTCAGTGAGGTTAAAGTTAAACAGTAAACAGGTTAAATATATCTGCTGTCAAATTAAGTTCAAGTCATATCACATGTTCATTCAATATTAAATTGAATCACTAAATGCTTCAGATTTCAAGATGTATGATATCTGATAAAATTAAAATAACATAAATTCTAAGTGATCAAAAATAAATATATTTACATCAGCTGAAACAAAGTTAAAGCTAGAGTCAAAGTCAAAGTCATAGTTTTAGTAATTTTAGTAAAGTATAATCATACATTCATACATACATATCATATCATATCATATCATATTATATCAAATCAAATCAAATCAAATCAAATCATATCATATATATATAATAAGCTCAAAAAAATATAGTCAATCTAGTTTAGTTTAGCAAGGTTAGTAAAGCATAGTAAAGTAGTATAGCGGACGTATAGTGTATATAGTATGCAGTATGATGTATAGTATGCCTGCCTCTCTGTAACTATACTTAGTCAGTAGTGAAACACTCAGCTCAACAGCCCGGTAAATTGCATTCATAATTCATTTATAGTTCAATGCTCACAACTAAATTCACGTACAATGACCGGTTACAATGGTGATCAACTGCGTTCAATAGTGACGAGTACAGTGAACAATGAATAGTGAATAGTGAAAGTAGTATTTAATAATATAGCATAACTAATAAATAATATGATAATAATAATAAATAATATAATAATAAAATAATAATATATTTAGTAATATGAAAATTTTAATTTCTGGATGCTATTAAAAAACATATATAATTATTAAAATTAATATACAAGAATTATTCCTCATGATTAATGAATAATAAATGAAGAAAGAAAGAAACAAACAAATAACAAATATGTTAAAGTTAAATATGTTCGAAAAAAATTCAAGTTTTTAAAGATGTTTAAATAGTTTTACGTAACTAAAGGTTTAAAATTAGAAAGTTTAAAGTTACAGTTTTAAAGTAAAAGTTGTCTTAAAGTTTAAAGTTTAAAGTTAACAGTTACAGTTAAAGTTTAAAAACAAAGTGAAGTTGAAGTCAAAGTTGAAGTTCAAGTCAAAGTCTTAGTCTTAGTCTCAGTTAAAAATTAAAAACATATAATAATTATACATTATCATTAAAAAAAATATTTCTTTATTTAATTATAATTTATTTATGTTTATTTATTTATTTATTTATTATTTTTTGGATTATGATTAAACGAAAACATCAGAAACGTAAATATTATATAAATTAAGAAAAAGACGCTCTGACTTTGTGACTATAGCTATCTATAACCCAAAACAGCTGAAGAAAGTAACTGTAACTGAGGTGAACACGCCACACGCAGAATGGCCGCTGACGTCCACTCACGGTACTTGCCTGCACCGTTTTTGAGATCGGAGCAGGCATCAATCATGTACAATCATCATCATCGATCATCATTATCAGTATCATCACCATCATCATCATCATCACCAAACCAAACTACAAGTCTACCTCACTGTTCGGGAAGCAAAAACAACATAGCATCAGACTTCGAACACAGAAGAGCACCCAACCGAACGAGTCGACATATCTTCACAATTGTCTAGGTCACGCTGGTTGGGCCCTGGTGTCGCCTCTTCCACGTATCTTCTCGCTGCGTTTCGTCCCCCAACCCTGAACATTTTCATCCATGAGGTCCTTCTTCCGAACAGCGTGATCCCTGTTGTACTCCTTGATCCTTCGCCTGGTCTGGGTCTACTTGGATTACAGCAGCACGCTGCAATGCACAACAAGCCCACAGTTCCAAAAAGTCTCTGCTCATTTCCCATCACACATCACATCGGACAATGTCAGGAGTCATGACAATGCTGGGCCTGCCTCATGCTGCTCAGCTTTTTGTCAACCTGCTTCAGCACGAAGCTTTTCTTCTTGCCTCACCGGTGCCATGCACAGCAACTGCAAGACCCTGACATGCCAAATGAAAAGTTAAATCGCAGTTAAAGGCGGCTAAAAGTAATTCATTTCTATTATAATATAATTACTTACTGACACGTCCCTGATGTATGACAATTATTAAATTAGATTATTATTTTCTCAGTCATGAGTCATTTTTACTATATCATTGAAAAAAAACATGCAATATCAATTCAACAACAAGTCTGACAATCACCCACGCTGGTGGCAAACATGCGCGCCTGCTCTTGCTAATGCCATCCTTGAGGCAATATCATACCGCGCTTTGGGCTTGGCATGAACACTGGCTATCTGCTGCAAGTTGCCTACCAAACGCCTGGCACTGGACAGTGCTTCAGAAGCCTCCCTCACATCTTGAATGGCTGCAGGGTCTCGGCGAGTCCTGCGAGGATTGCGCGGTTTGCAGTGCCACCGTTACCCGATAGTTCCTATTACCGCCGCCGTTGACTGTTACCGGTTACAGTTACAGTATCACAGCGTCACTATTTCAGATTTAGCAATGTTTAGCAGTTTAGCATGATGATATCATATAACATTATATAAATATAAATTATAATTTATAGATTTATAGATTTATAATATGTAACTTCAACTTCAAGTGCCTTGGTACATTTTTCACATCATCACCACTGATTCCCCACCGCATCCATCAACTGCAAGGGGTGTCACCACTGGACGTTTCAAGACTTTTCAGCGGACTGTCAAGACATGACTGAGTCTGTTTTCCAAACTCTAAAATGGTTTCATCAATTTCCGAGGGCGACAGCCTTGCAGGAGCGCGCAGGCAAAATCACTGCAGCTTGCAGAGTGCGGCACGAGGCATTATCTTGACATAAGCCCAGTGTCACGTGTCACACTACCCAAGCTTCCAGCAGCATCAAAAAAAATCGGCTGAGCAATGGCATCTTGCCCGGGAACTGTTGGTCAAAGCCATGAGAGTGCTGGGCAATTCAAATTCATAAAATGAACATGACGTCATAAAGTAGTCATAAAATCATGAAGTGTAAAATAGTCGAAAATAAGAATGACAATAATAAGTGATAAGTAAGTGAAAGTGTTATGTTGTTTTCAATATATTAATATTATATTATATAATATATATATATAATATATCTTGATTTAATATATATATATATATATTAATTAGATATATATATTATTATATAATAATAATATTATTAATATAAATATAATATACATATATTATTTATATTTATATATATTATAAATTATAAATTATATATATTATATATACTATATAATATTATAACATATATATATAGTAATAACATAATTAGTAAATAATAATAACCTATAAAATTCTAATTAATTATAATTATATAATACAAAATATAATAATAATATAGTATAATATTATATTATATTTTATTATAAATATTATAATTTATAATATATAATAATAATATATTTAATATAATATATAAATATATATGATATATGTATACTATATATATTATATATATATTATATATTATATATATAATAAAAATATAAAAATATAATATGATTATAATCTGATTGTATATGGTTTGAAATACTGTGAAGTGCTGGTTCTCGGTGTACAATTTTTGACTGCGCCTGATTCCAAGCCTGCTGTTTGTCCGCTAGCACTCTCGGGACAAGACTGCATCAGCCTTCAAGTCAAACTCAGGTGCCCGGCTTCTCTCACACATTCATATCTCAGGGTGCCAATGCAAAAACTGACTGGAGGTACTGAAGTTGAAGTATGTATGCAGGAGTCGAGAGTAGGTAAGTTTGACCAAGCAGCGCGACCGTTGCAATTCCAAACTGTGAATCCACAACTCAATTTTTTGAACTGGGTTCAAGCTAAAAACTCAAATTTCTCCAATTGTGATGTGTAACTCCGAGAAAAGTTATGCAAAGCAAGTCCTCCACTGGGATTCCGTACTGTCACGAACAAAATGCTGGATGCTGGCATTCTCTGACCGGATCTGCCAAACATCCAAAGAATTCTGAAATTTATAATGATTCATGATTATAGAATTCCAATTCCCACGGCAATGACACACTGCCTCCATGGCGTGATCACCATACTCCAGCGCCAACGCAATGCGACAAACCTGTCACATGTTTTGAAACTTTGACATCAGTCTCGTCAAACCAGCCAGCTGAAACTGCGACTGTGACAAGTGAAAAGTGAAAGCAGTGAAAACTGTGGCTTTCCATGGTGCTGCAATGACTTTGACATTGGCTCTGACTGGGAGTGAAATAACCGACATGCCTTTCCAGGCTGTTTTCCGAGCTGCATGAGTGGCTCAGCAGTTCAGTTCATGTTTGATGTCAGTTTCAAGTTTCAAGCATGTTTTGCCTAGAGAGAACACCACTAAAGTTTTGAAAAAAATACAGCGAGAAATCAACAAATAACAAAAAAATAAAATAACAATATAAGTGGAGTGAATGGGTTGGGTAGCCCAAAAACCATAGCTGCGACTGCGACCTTCACCACAAGCCTGTCAAAAATACATATGACTCACTCATATGACTTGCATTGAAATAACCGTGCCTTCCCTGCTCCCTTTGGGCCAGCATTGCCCTGCGAGCTGCATGAGTGGCTCAACAGTTCATGGCTCAACAGCTCGTGACTCAACAGTTCATGGATCAGGAAAATGTGTCTTGACTCTTAACTTTAAGACGACTAAGTTAGGTTTTAATTCTGATAAATGTTTTAATTCTGAAAGTGTATCGTAGCCATTAAGAGACACATGATGCAAGGGACAAGTGACAAGTGGATGGCCAAAAGACTAAGCAATGTTAAACAAAGCCTGGTTTCAAACTTCGCATCTTGATAAATGCAACATGACCCAATCCTGCCTTCCCCTTGATTGCTCGCTGTGCTTCATCGAAAGCCTGCGAGCTGCATGAGTGGCTTAACGGCTCAAGTGACTAGTGGATGGCTAATCACGAAACAAAACATGACAAATATAACAAATGTGTCACCCGACCCGCCTGCTCGTGCGCAGGATCTCGTAGGTTCACGTTTACGTCCAGGGAGGGTGCATCCGGTTGAACCTGAAGTGCATCAGAGATGGAAATCACAACTCAAGGTTTTTTGAGTTCAGCTTATGTTCATGGCGTTTACAGTTTACAGTTTACAGTTTACAGTTTACTACAGTTTACGTCTAAGACTAAGACCCAAAGGCTTCCAAAATACAAGCTGCAAGCTTGGCGCAAATTGTTAATTTTCTTCGGCCCTTTGGTTTTCATTGGAAGAAGTGCTTTCAACATGGCTGTGAAGCCCAGATTCAAAGAAGTGCTTTTGTAATGGCCCCACCAGATCAAAAGCACTTATGTATACTTATGGACCTATGGAGATTTAATGCGCTGTGTGTGGGAGTGTGTGTGTGTTTGTGTGCCAATTACAAGGCCGAAGCTACTTGTGGCGGTGGCCGACACTACTTAGCGGACGCGCGACGCGTGGCGTGGTCTAAATTACTTAGCTAAGACGCAGCGACGTATCCAAGAACCTCATCTCTCCTTCCTTCAGATGAAGCGGCAAACGTGCAAGGTAAAATGGGGTTGGTCTCGACATTCGCTGCTTCAGGTCAACATAGTGAGCAATGTTGGAACCAATGACTCACAAGTCCATTATCATTGGTTTCATGTCATTTCAATGGCATCTCAACAACCATGTGCCAGGTGATTGATGTACCTCAAAACCTGGATCTCCAACAACCATTATCGAAAATTCGAAAAGATGTAATTATGGCCTTTGCCGTAGTAATAGAATGTAAATTCATCCTCCTGTGAATTTAAGGTAAAGGCTGTGTAACCATCTCTACAAACTTCACTAGCATGCATCACAAACCAGGAACATACTAATAGGTGAATAAACCTGACTCCTGCCCAACCACCAGAGCACTAATCCTTTTTCATGGATTGGCTTGATCACACACAGGTGGAGCAGCTGCTGGGCAGCAGCAGCTCCACCACACCAGCCCCGCAGGGCCATGAGCACTTGGGCTCAATCCCAAACATAGGCAAAAAATCTTTCAGTGCCCATGTTACAGCTTGCACCATCAGCAAGCAACTTCATAAACACCTGACAAAAAATTGCCTGTCACAAAATCAAGGCCAGGGGGCCTAATCCAAACTTGCCCCAAACAGGTGGCAATGTGGAGGGTAACAACCCGTGAACCAATGCAGGGAGGGGTGGGGTGGAAAAGAGAAAACAACAAACAGGCAAGCGGGTTGGAAAGCACTACCTCTCAGGGAAAGGAGAGATGAACAACTACTAGCCCAACCAGGCTTGCCACTAGCTGCAAAGCATGTTCAGCCAACTCATGAAGCAACAACAGGGTAAATCCCGACAAACCAACAAGGTATGCAAGGTGAAGTTAGAGAGAGTGGTGTTCATGTGTGCAAGCCCACATGAAAACAGCACTTTGTAGTGAAGAAACGGTTTGCATAGCCTCAAGCTCTACTAAATGGATGTGCATACAGCATGCATGATCGAATTTCACTACTAAATGTGGGCCCTTGGTTCAGCTCTTGATTTGCATTGGCATTGTTGCTACATTGTCGCATTGTGGATATCCTATGCAGTAGATGCAGCAAAGAATCAACAGCTCAGTCTGCTCAGTGAATAAACAACAATAAACAACAGTGACAGCTGAACCGGCTTGCTTAACTTCAAAATTTCAGGCAAAGGAGTCTACTGGTTGGATCTTTAGACGCTAATCATAATCAATGCTCTAAGACTCTAAAACTCTGTATAAGTCAAATGAGTCTAATAAATGCACATGATGCCCATGGTTGATTGTTCATACTGTAGTTACTGTAGTTGCACTTTAGTTGCAACCATCCGTCAGCACCCATTCGCAGGGACCTGATCGTTCTCGTTGGCGCTGTCCCTGAATGACCGCTCCTGCAATGGCAATGAGCGGGGTGGGCGTTAGAGGTCACATGGGTAAAGTAAAGTCATTGATCACATCGAAATGAATAAATAAAGTTAAGTTAATTCTAGTTATTTTTCTACTACTACTGCTACTACTGCTACTACGGCTACTACTGATGCTGCTGCTGCTGCTGCTGCTGCTACTGCTACTGCTACTGCTACAGCTACTACTACTCCTACTACTACTACTACTACCACCACTACCACTACCACTACCACTACCACTACCACTACCACTACCACTACTACTACTACTTCTACTTCTACTTACTACTACCACTACCCCCCCTTACTGTTACTAATTACTACATGCCAAACTTCTGAATGTCTTGATATCTGATATCGGATATTTGTTGATTGATCAATCGTAAACCCGTAAACCGTTTGTTCTTTCACACGCTTATTAAACAATCATAAGCATAAGGATCAATAATATCAAGTCATGAAACACCAAAAACTGAACTTATGTTATGTTCCTGCTTCAAAGTTTCAACTTTGTCGTAGTCTTAGTCTTAGTCTCAGAGACTCCAAGTCTAACTCGAAGTCTTGAAAACCAAGGCTGTCCAAGTCTGAGTTCAACCGCTTAGCCGCTTAGCCATTTAGCAGTTTCGAACTTTATTTTAGAATCTCTAGAGTGTCTAGAGTCTAGAGTCTAGAGTCTAGGAGTCTAGATTGACAGGCCCCAAGCCCACCCCCATCGGCTCCAGCCAGCGTGCGACATCGTCTTCCATGAACCATCGCACATGAATGAAAATGAAACGTCCCATTTCACGGATCTTCTTGTCCCGGAGCCCCAAGATGCACGTCCGGGCCGCAGAGCACAAGTTGTTCTCCCGTGGGAGCACATCGAAAGTCTTCTGGTAGTTGGACCGGAGGCATTCAAAAGCATCGTGCTTTCCCAAAAACAAACTTGTGGGAAGCATCACTTCAGTGACTGGGACCACAAACATCAATCTCTCCATCATGTCATACAGATCCTCCGGAAGATCAAACCATTCATTCCTGTTGTTTGGTTCCACTGCATAGATCCAACGTTTTTTTGTTCTACCCAACTCAATGCCATCAGGCTCATCATGCCTCTTGCTGGCCTTGGCCGGCGGGTCCTGGCAGGTGGTTTTGATGGCAGCTCTACAACTCAGCCACTACGACTAAACATGCCTTCAACTTCCACCTTCAGTTCATTCATTCACAGACACGGGTGTTAGTTATCAGTTATATTATGTCATAAGTTGTAATCATAAGTAAGTGATCAGTGATAAGTTATGATAAAATGTAAGTCTAGGTCTAAGTCTAAGTGATAAGTTCCAGTCTAAGTCTAAGTCTCCTGAAAGTAGTTTTAAGGTTTTAAGTTTTAAGTAGTTTTAAGTTTTAAGGCTATTTTAAGGTTTAAATTTAATAGTTTAAATTTTAAGTTAAAATTTAAAAGTTTTAAGTTTTAATTTTAAGTTACAGTTAGTCTAGTTTTGTTTAAGTTTTAAGTTTTCAGTTTCAGTTTCAGTTTGAGTTGAAGTCAAGTTCAAGTGAAAGTTTTTTAAGCATCAAAAAAGAGTTCAGTGATGACTTGACAGACTTGATATATCAACGGTAAGCAATGGACAAAAATCCAAAGCGATGGGACGTACAAGCAAACAAAATGAACATACTGAAATCGAAACTGGAAACTGAAACTTGCATGGTTTGCATGACACGGAATCATCAAAGTCAGAAACTCAAAAACCCATGACGTTTGCTGGCGCAAGAGTCCGGCACACGCACCTCACCTCCGACTTCTTCTGGCGCTTCCGAGACTCAAGGTCCTGGTGCACCGAGCGAAAGGCAAAGCGGCCAAAACATAAACACTATCCTACTCAGAGATGCATATGTCTTTCTTTGAAGGCCCTATTAATAATTACCAGAACAATTCCCCAGAAAAAAATAACTGAGAACACGAGGAAACTGTCCTTGGCCTCCTTCCCGCTCTTGGCATTGCCCTTGCCCTTGACCTTGACATTCTTGGTTGGACACGTCTTCTGGCAAAAGGGTTATACTTGTGTGGCATGGGTTCCAGATTTTACAACAACTCTGCAAAATAAATAAATAAATTCATCGTTCTTCAAAAAACTCTTTCATTTCATTCAAAATCATTTCATGAGTTCCAGAACCTTAGCTCTTCCCCGTCAGCTCAAAACAGCGCCTTGGAAACTGTTGGCTTCGATATCAACTGTTCATCACTTGGTTCCTGGCTGGCAGCAGGCAATGTTTTTTCAAATCCATCGTCAATCAGATCTTTTGTGAAAAGGGCAGGGAAAGTATGGAAATCAAACAAATGTAAGTAACAAATGTAAAACTGCAAAACATTGATTTGAGTAAAAACGGTTGATTTGTGATTGCCCAAACTCAAAATTAAAAATTCAAACGTCTCAGCATCTTGTCGAATATGCGGCCCCCACCACCCGAGAATCCAGAGCACGGGAGTGCAAAGCCTTGTTGGAAGACTTTGGCGCCATGCTGGATGGCTGGATGTTCGATCGACTCTGCTGCTGCGCTTGGGCCATCGTTGAACAAATCCAACGAAGTGGTGCATGTTGGCTTAGTTGTCACTATATGATAATGACATGATACATAAATTATAATATTGTATAATTATATCATAAAATGTCATAAAATCAAAAAAATATTCTGACAATCTGTCAGGTTCATGTATCAATATACTCAGATACTCAATATAACAATGATATATAAAAACAAAAATACTCTATTATAGACTCATAGACTCTATACTCAATATACCTGCTATACCTCGTCATTTTGTTGTCATTTGATTGGGTTGGAAGATGTCCCCCACAGAAAGTCATGCCGCAGCCCAGAGTCCTCAAACCATTTCGGGCCACTCCACGCACCATTGGTCGTTGGCTCTGGATATGGCATGGGTCAGCGCAAAGGTTGCCAATTGGCAATTTAAACGTGAAATTTGTTAAAATTCCGTCTGGAATGGTTAATGAACTAGCGAGTTGAATTCAATTGATAATTTCTGAAGAACTAAACAAAAAAAACATACTAAAAATGAACAATCTAGCAATGCAGCTGCTACCTTACCAATGGTCACCAGTTACCCGGGACACATCTTCAGTAGGAATGAAAATGAAAGCAATGAACATGTTTAGGACGCAGAGCAACAGAATACTGCAGGAAGCTGAGCGAGGAATGCCGCCAGTTAGAGGGGCCCGGCGGAAGATAAGTAAGCAGGCTTTAAACAACTTTAAACTTTAAGTAGTAAACTTTAAAGTTTAAAGGGTTAAGGTTAAGGGCCTTAAGGGTCTAAGTTGTCCAAGTCTAAGTTTCAGTAAGGTCAGGTACTGAAACTTTTCAATATGTTGGGTAATCTGACATGGGTTGAGTGGAACCATGAAAAAGAGTTCATGAATCAATCATGCCCTGCATGAAGCCTTTCTCAACCATCACGACTCCCTGAAACTGCACATAATTACCGATTGCCGACTACCGTTACCCGGTACTAAACTATTTAAAATCCAAATTCACAAACTACCAGAGACTATTATCATGGGTCGGCATTATTATTATAATTATGATCATAATAAATAAAATCTGTGATTTTTGTTACTGAATCAATTCTAAATTCTAAAACTATTCCAAATCTCTGAATTTTAAAACGTTCTGAGGTGATCACCGGGCACCCAGATGTACCCAGCACGCCGTACCCACCGCGCCCTGTGCCAAGCCCCCACCCGTACCCCGTACCAACAGCATGCCCCCCCCACACCGTACCCCGTACCCACTGCGCCGTACCCCGTACCAACAGCATGCCCCCCCCACACCGTACCCCGTTACCACTGCGCGTACCCCGTACCAACATCATGCCCCCCCAACACGTACCCGTACCCACTGCGCGTACCCCGACCAACCATGCCCCCCACACCGTACCCCGTACCCACCACACCGTACCCCGTACAACAGCATGCCCCCCCCACACCGTACCCCGTACCCACCCCCCCGTACCCGTCCCAACATGCTCCAAGGGATAGACACGTACCTAACGTATAAGCTCCAATAGAAACATACCTTTTCATTGCTCTTCAAGTTAGATAATATATAAGTATATAAAAATACCATCCTAGAAAAAATATAAATGTAATTAAAACAAATTCATTTAATATATATCCTATAAAAAAATAATACCCATTCCATTTTAATCCAATAATTTATCGTATATCCTATAAAAAAAATAATACTAGATCCGTAAAAATATAATTAAAAAATAACTATAATTAATATTAGGATAATACCAATTTAATCAACCAATTAGTTATCTCATAGGAGAAATAAATAAATATCCTAGGACATAAAAATTAGTATATATGTGGAATCAAGGTAAAATTTACATAGGACACCGCGGATTCAGAACCCTTTTACAAATCTCTTGCTTCTCTACCCAAAAACCGCGCCTTGCCCAGAAGCAGCAGCACAAGCAACAACAACAGCAGCAGACCAAGCAGCAGACCATCGCAAAGCCTTTCCAAAACCGCTCCGGGCTGCGTTTTGACTGGCTGCAATTTTGACGAGGTCCGAACGAGGTCCCGAGGTCCGAAATCAAATTTTGGGAAACTGACCCCCTAAGTCTCCTGACAAACTCTTTAGTAGCCACACGCTTTGGCATTCTTTTCAGAACAGTAAAACTCAAAAGCTTTCAGCGGTGGAGCAGAAAAGGAAACCAAGCCAAGCAGCAGTTGCAGGCAAGAGCAAGGAGAAAGAAGAGGAGACAAAGGGCGAGTAAGGGAGACAGAGGGGAGACAGAGGGGAGACAGAGGGGAGACAGAGGGGAGACAAAGGGACGCAAGCTTGGGAAACAAGTATACAATTGCCACGACTTTCATCTTTGGGAATATAATGGGCAAACCCAAAAAGATATGACAAGTAAGCATCGTGTGCCTATGCAAAGCGCCAAAAAATACATCAGTAAGTTAAAGTCATAGGCACTGCCCATGTGGGCCTTTCCCCATAGGCACACCACGATTTGGCACAAGATCTTGTCATCGGCACTTGTTACAGTATCGACCCAGTATTCGTCGGTGTTTGTATGAATCTTGCACAACAGAGCGAGCCACAAATGCCTACCCAATCGGAGCTACATCATCACCGCCTGCCTAACTGTCCAAGGACAACAGGACACCGTTCAGTGATGTACAATTCCATTATTACAAAGCTAAAACTCCCAAAGCACAAGGGAATAGCTACAACCATCTGCATGGTATCCATGAAAAACTCATGATCAACCATCAATTGGAGAAACCACAAGCATGATAAACACCAACTGGACGCAACATCGCGCCGACTTCCAGAAATTTCTCCCCCACCTAGGACGCACATTTCATTGAAACGCTTTGTCTTCCACAACTTAGAGTACCTATAATACAATTCAATTCCACCATATTTGAAAACACCCAAGAATCCATTTCCAGAGACCCCAGATCCATTGCAAAATCTTGTATATATATATATGGTAGTTAATCAATGTTCCTTATACCCGGAAACTGCCATTCTTCGCGAAAGAAAAATTACTTACGCGAACCCCATGTTTATCTTTTAGGGAGTCCTCTATGCAAGGTTTACTGGGCCACCCGTCAGAATGCACTTTAACTTTCGCCGGCTCCTTCGCATGACTTTCGCGGAACTTACCCGAAACTATCCATATATATATATATATTCGCGGGCCCCATCAGCAGGGGGCGCATCAAAGGAAAAGCAAACAGCAGGCGCCTTGGTGTTTGGCTCTCGCATGCTCTCGCAAAGCCTAACTCTTGGAAGTTTGACTGCTGCGTGTGGAGCTTGCTTCCTCAGACAAAAGCAGAATTGGGATCCATTGGGCAGTACCAGTATTTGGCTGTGGCGAAGTCGGCTGCTGGGAAAGGTGAATGTCCAAAAGTATCACACAGGGAACTGAACCAGAACCAAACCGAAATTCTTTGGTACCCTTCTCCTGCCGGACCCGGGGCGGCAGGAGTGGTAGCCCTTTACAAGTTATATACAATAACAATGACTAATAATATCCAACTTTCGCAAGACTTTCGCGAATTCACGATTACTTTCGCGAACTCGAAAAACACTTTCGCGAGGGTTCCGAACATAACATGTAGGGTCTTCGCAATTGAAACTCCGTACAAGGACCTCTAGATCGATCACCCTCTATATATATATACACAATATATATATATATATTTCAATTTCAATATATATATATATACATATGTATATCTTCAAATTTCATTGGTATATGGTCGACGCAGGTTATTGACATGTAAATATATGACATTTAGATCAAGAATATTATTATGATTAAACTTTAATTTCTTGACCTATGTATATTCCTGTGTACTAAGTCATAAGCATTTTCATATATTTTCAGGATTGCTTAGATTCTCTCTTCAAATGGTATAAAAAAATATGACGCAATTGTGTACTGATTATTGAAGTGTTTTGTTATTTTTGGTTGGGAAATTCCGCAAACCCCCAGTCATCTCCCTCTTCCCCTCTTGTAGGGAGATATCTTGACAGTGGATGCCACAAAGCCCGCTCAGCGACTACTGGCCATCATTCCTAAAAAAGGGGATATGTCGATGGGTTCTACTGAATTTCTGAATGGAGTATCGATTCTTGGATGTTACCCCTGTGCATTTGTAAGTTACCCACAAACGCTAAACCAATTGATCATTAACACATCCCACCGGCACATCCGAAGCTATTCACACAGCATGTCCACGTCGTACGACATGTGTTACTTGCCGCTGCTACAGGAACTTGCGACAAGTCACATTTGGGGACATGCCTCTACTTAATTTGCGCAAAGAACAATCTTCGCTTCCTCAAATCCTTGAATTGAAGAAGAATCCTGAAGAAGTATCCAGCGCAGGACAACTATACGAAGAGGGCAGCAAAGATGCAGGATTTGTCATGATTTGTCCCGTCTGACCATCAATAAATCATATAAACCGGCAGCTTTGACTTTCCGAAAGTGAAACGTAGGCAAGGGATGATCTCACTTGCGAGCCCGAGCTGACTGATCTGTCCAAGTCTTCCGGATGTAAGGGTCTCGAATAGCTTCCAGCACATCTGGCCTCTGATCCCGATCTCGGGTCAGAAGCCGGCCTCAACTCAGTTGTAAAAAGAATTGGGGCGGGATTCAGTGACATTATGAATCATTAATAATCATTATGTGACATTGGAATACATTGGATGGGTTGGGAGCACGTTTAGGAAAAGAGAAGACAGCGCCATACCAAGTCCTCATCTCCTTGCCTTCACTGTCCTGTTAGTGGCAAATGTGGCAGCTTCCGGTGCCAGCTTCCCCAATAATTAGCCAAGGCTCGAAGAAATTTGATTGCTTCGGCCGAAACTTTTGGTGATGCTGGAAAAACCTTGGAAAATCACTGTGCGGAGTGAGATGAACGGACCTGGGAATATCTGATCTTTTTTGATAGTGAACCGATGTGCTGAGGCAATGAGAAAACAGAAGCACGCCACTCAGTACAGCAATCTACGC